ATTTAAATTTGAATGATAATATGTATATAATTAGAAAGAAGGGTTATATTGAAAAAAGATACTAAAAGGTGTTTTAATTTTTATAATATGATAAATGTTTTGGAACATTTAAAATAGAAAATATGATATTTTCAATGGAACGAAGAAAATATAATGAATTGCCGAAGCTTATTAGTCTGCTCTCGAGTCTCAATCACTTATACCTCGTGCACAATTTGTGGTAGTTTTTATTTGGGGGTCATTTTCCAATGTCCTGTGGACAATCTTTTTAGTGTAGTATTTTTTTCACAACGGTCCTATTTCCTCTTAAATTCTTGAATTTAAAACCAAATTTGTGGGCCTATTAAGTAGAAACTAGAAAGTCCGATTGTGCAATATGGTTCACATTTTGTATAGTACCTGGCTTCAAGAAGTTGGCCACGTTAATGCCAGAAAGTTTTTGTCCATTCGGGTGAGAATCAATTGAAAGGCTACCCGTGTCTAAATGAAAACCCCACTTGTTAATTCATATGGTATTTGCCGTCCATTTTGACATGTTAAATGAAATTAAGCGAGACTCTCATATGTTTATATGTTTTTTATTGATTCGAAAACACAGACGACCGTTTTTAACTTTGCTGGCAGGCTGATTGTGCTACATTGATCATTCATGTAGCTTTTGGAGGTAAAGATCATTTCGAAGTCGTGGTTTATAATTTTATACATTCTTCTGTCTACTGTCAAATTCAATTTATAGGCGTGAACTCTTTTCTCAAAAACAAAAAAAATGACCCTTTAGTCACTATATTAAGTAATTCGATTTCTCTTCACTTTTGTTTGTATTAATAAGATCATTATTAGATGGATTTTTTTTAATCATAAGCGATACGTTTTAAATTCAAGATCTCTTTAAATGCAAAAAACCCCACAAACTAAATACCCAATTGCAGTTTACCCCCTAAACTATAATAATAGGCATTTTACCCCCTTGAATGATATGTTTGGACAAATCTATCCCTTTTATTTTAAGCATTGTTATTTTTCTTTTTTCCCTATCATTTTCTTTTTAAATTCTTCCTTTTTTTCTTTAAACATTGTTTAAATAAGTAGACTAGATTAGTCAAAATTTGTTTATTTCTTAATTTTGTATGTCAATATTTTATAAATAAAATCTATGGAATACAAGATTTTTTTTCCAAATGTTGAAGTCAATGTCATTTAAGAAATTGAACTTTTCAAATATATAACAACAAAATAGAGAAATTGATTAATCAATTATTAGTAGTATCAATAACCAAAAAAATGAATTACTATTATTGTTTATTCTTATTTTTTATTTCACTACAAATAACAATTGCTAACTTTTCTTTTTTATGTGATATATAATATGTTACTTTTATTATAAGTAGTTGAGTAACTGTGAACTTCTAATTAGTTTATAGGTACTTAAATTGTTGAATTACTAGATTAATATACTTTACAATATGAGCTTCATATATTTTGTAATAATAAAGAGTTTATGACAAATTATTAAGAATGAATTTAACAAATAAACAAATTAAAAAAGCAGTTTAAAAAATATTAAAATTTTTGATGTAAGTCTTTTCACATCGGAGAGAGACGTTGGCTAGTTCCACGAGAGAAGGAGAAAATAAATAAAAGGAAAAAAATGAAAAAGCTAATAGAGAAAAAAAAAGGATTTAAGATAGTAGGGGTAGTATTGTCCAAACATATCATTCAAGGGGGCAAATTGCCTATTATTATAGTTTAGGGGATAAACTGCAACTCGGTATATAGTTTGTGGGGGGTTTTTTGCATTTAACCCTAATTTTTTTCACCTTATCACTCAACATAACTCTTTCCCATTATTACAGAGATTGATAAGCTGAATACGACAAGACTTAATTTTAGAACGCTATTTATTTCTTCTCATGATTATCGTTAAGGAGCAAATTTATATAAAAAAAAGGAGAAAGGAAGACGAATGAGAAAAAGACAGGATTCCTTCAAATATGTTTTGGCATATGAGGCTTAGGATGCGTTAGATAAAATTGAAGTCTGAAAATCGAAATTTGAATATATTAAGTTATTAAATTGTTAAGTATTAAATTTAATACATTTAAGTACATATCACATTAAATAATAAGTAAATAGCTTATCGCTTAATTTTAGGAACAAGTTTTGTTTAGAAAATTCAGTGCCACCTAATTAATTCAAATGCTTAATTTTGATTATCAAACGGTTTGAATGTGTTATGATCCGAATTTATTAAATTTAAGTGTTAAACCGAGTTATCAAACAGGGCGTTAGTAAATTGGTTTTCATGCTTCGAATAAGGAAATATCATTTGCACTTTACTTTTTGTTAATTGCACTTTTATAAGTTATTTTATCACATAATATAATAAAAATGATAGTGAAACATTTTCCTTCAAATATAAGGAATCTACGTAGATCACAAAGATTCGTATAAATTTTATGACGTTATTAGTTTCCTTCGTGTATAATTGAGTGATTAATAGTTTTACTTAGTTGACCAATTAACACATATCAAGTGTTATTTCTTTCGGAACAAGTAAAGTGCGTATCAATTTGGGCATTGCTTCTCCGCTGCAAACTGGGGATTCTGACACGTAACAAAGTGCACTTCGAGAGATTCTGTGAATTTTCGAATTTTCTTTCATAAAGTTACCAAAGTGGATTCAAGCAGAAGTATACCTTCATGCAAGAAAAGTAGATATGTACGGTGTACCGGCACATCCCAAGGAGTAGGTGGCAAAACGTTATTAGAAGTACAGCCTTGTTCGGCACTTGAATTTTTTATTAAATTTATCTACTACAAATTTTTTAAAAACTTTAATTACAGTAAATATAAAAAATTTTTCAAAATTTTTAAATTATATATTTCAAAATATTCAAAAATTTACACATATCAAAAAATTTTTAAAAATTTTAAATAAACACCAAAAAAATTCACTTGTCAAACAAGACCGTCATTTTAATCAAATGCAGACTCCAAAATTTTTTTTTTGGGGAGGTTTGGCTCTGATCACTGTTACGGATCAAGTATATCCGAGAACGTCTTTTTGTAAAGAGCTGTCTCGAAAGTGTTTTCAATAGTTGTCAAGTATGTTCTTAAGTTCTGCACATCACAACTAATCAAGCACACATTCACAATATTTTGTTATTGACAGTGAACCTAATCTGTACTAGCCTTTCTATTGGTAGGCAAAAAAATCACAAGTTCCAAGTGAATTTCACCAGTATTGTGACTTTATTACTAGCATGTAGGGGTGTATGGTTGCACTAATTCTGGGTATTTGGACATCATCGGCCTTTTATTTTACAAGAGAAACTAGAGGGCAGGTGAATCGGGACGTAAATGAACCTAATTAAGTTGAATATTCTAATGTTTAAATTTATTTAATTATTTTAATAAACTTAAAATTTTGTTCAATTTTGACATTTTTATTTGTCGAATTGAGTTTGAACAGCTTTTTTTTTTAATCGAGTTTGAATGTTTTTTTTTGTAATATAAAACGCTATTCAAACTTCGTTTGAGTAATTAATGAATCAAGTTCGAATCAACTCTTATCAAACCGTCGAATTTGATTTGCGTATCGAGTAGCTTGATTGATCTTTTTAACCTTAGACAAATTTTTTTTTTTTTTTTTTTAAGGGAGGGAGAGGGGGAGGGGGTGCGGTTGGGATGGGGTTGAGATTGGGATTAGATGAACTCTGCCTTTGTTTGCTTGTCAGAACTTTGAGTTCAACAGGAGCGTAGTTGTTGAAGTTTTGGGTGTTGCCGTTGGATTCGTATAAAATGGCCCCACTTACAAGCCAATTATTGGTCACCAGCAGGTTATCAATTCGCTCAAGTACATTGCCTAATTGAAAGGTCCAATTCAAGGTCAAGTTTTACAGCCGAAGAAGTGAAGCATGAAAATGTTCTTCTTTCCAAGAGGACTGACTAGTCGGGCCCAAGTTTTGCGTCGTTACGTAATCTGTTAGGTTCGTCTAATATTCATCCAAAGGAAGCCCAAAGGCCCCAAACCAATGGCAAGCATTAGACTTTTAAGGATTTTGCCTGATACTAGACTCTTTGGTTACTTACGTCCACATATAAAGCCCGTGTCTGGATTCACAAACGACTGTCGACCCCACATTTTATCAAGAAGAAGAAGAATAACTCAGGTGGACCCTACAGAGGGCACAGTTCATCAGAGGCACACAAAAATGGAACGCCATGCCTCCGGTTCAATTTTAAAAAATCAAAGAATTAATTGAACCGATCAAAATCGGTCAAAAACTGGTTGAACCAATAAAAATCGAGAGGTTCAATCAATTTTTATTAAATATATTTTAATTTTATTCAAAATTCTTAATATTAAAATAAATAAAAATTTATTAAACTTTTAAATCAAGATCGAATCGATTGAACCGTGAATCAAAAGATTTTTCGTTTCACTCTTTGATCCAGATTTAAAAATATTGGTTGAACTCTCACCAGCCACCAGGCCAGATTTGTTTAAAATCAATCAAAAGATTTTTCGTTTCACTCTTTGATCCAAATTTAAAAATATTGGTTGAACTCTCACCAGCCATCAGGCAGATTTCGCTAAAATCACTAACAAAAAAATCGCCTTCGGAACTCGGCCTCTTAACCACCTGACTTTGGGTTGGTTTCGTTAAAATCACTAACAAAAAAGTTGCCTTCGGAACTCGGCCTCTTAACCACCAGCCTTTAGGTTGGTGACCATCATTAATGCATTAAAATTTGACAGGATAGGAGGCAAGGATTGCCATATTAAAGGTTGGTGACCATCATTAATGCATTAAAATTTGATAGGATAGAAGACAAGGATTACCATATTAAAAGTGGCTCTATTTAAAATAATTCAACTGAGTGTATAATACACCCATTTAATCCTTTACGCATCGATCTGATTCAATGGTAGTTCGATGCCCCGAATTACCTTGGACCTATTTACTTCCTTTCCCTCCTCCCAAGTGTGGGATATCCATCGTATCGAGGGGACAAAAAAATGAAAAAAAGGAACCCGGCCTCCTCAGAGGAAAGGAAAACTGGTCCAGGTTCATCCCCCTTGGAATCTAGTCGTCTTCGTCGTTTTAACGCATTTTCTCCTCAACTCTTCTCGCATTCTCGCCCTACCTTATAAAAAAAAAACGCTCGCCATTTATATTTAACCCTCCCTCTGGAAATTCTGCACCTCCAAAACAAATTTCAGAAATTATTTTATTGGTTTTTGTTTTCTTTCCCGTCGATTATTTTATAGCCATTTGATGGCTGCATCATCATCATCGTCAATCACCCTTCGGACGACTTACAAATCCTGTTCTTGCCGCTGCTTCCGTTGCTGTTTCTGTCGCTGTTTATGTTGCTGTCATTCTTAATCTCTCTCCCGGAAAACCCCAAATTTGTTTGTGAAAAAGTTTACTTAATTTCGAAGGTTGGTTCGTGAAATTTCCGGAAATTTTCTCATTAGGATAGGATTCTCGGGATGGATTTGTCTCACTCGCAGTCGAGTAATCTCTCACTAGGGTTTCTAACTCACGCTTCGTCCTCACCGGCACCCGCGTCGAATCACCGGTCGCGAATCGTCGATGATTCCATTTCCTTCCAGATAGATTCGAACTTTCAGGACCCGTCCCATCCGGTACCGCAGATTCCGCTTCAATTGATGGAGTCGCAAACTGACAATCAAAAAGAGCAGAACGGGAAAGGTAATAGAGAGAGTGAGGATGAGAAGGAAGAGGAGTTTCGGATTTTAGGCCATTCGATGTGCTTCAAGCGGAAACGCGACTCGGGCGATTCACAATCCTCCTCGTCTTCTTCGTTGAAGAGTTCTAGGGGGAGCTCCAACGACCTTGAGTCTCGTAGGAATGCTGTGAGGGCGTGGGGAAATCAGACTTTACGAGTGGCCGATCCTGATGTCTTTGAGATACTGGAGAAAGAAAAGCAGAGGCAGTATAAAGGGATTGAATTAATAGCTTCGGAGAATTTTGTGTGTAAAGCGGTGATGGAAGCTTTAGGAAGTCATTTGACGAATAAATACTCGGAAGGCTATTCTGGGGCGAGGTATTATGGTGGGAATCAATATATTGATGAAATTGAAACCCTTTGTTGTGAGCGAGCATTGGCTGCTTTTGGGCTTGATTCAGAGAATTGGGGTGTAAATGTACAGCCTTATTCCTGTACCTCTGCGAACTTTGCTGTTTATACCGGTTTATTGTTGCCTGGTGATAGGATAATGGGGTTGGATACACCATCCGGTGGAAATTCAAGTCACGGCTATTATTTGCCAAATGGGAGGAAAGTCTCGGGGGCTTCAATTTTCTTTGAAAGTTTGGCATATAAAGTGAACCCACAGACAGGTTATATAGATTTTGATAAGCTTGAGGAGAGGGCGCTTGATTTTCGCCCCAAGATACTCATTTGTGGCGGGAGTTCATATCCTCGGGAATGGGATTATTCAAGGTTCAGACAGATTGCAGATAAATGTGGAGCTGTCTTGTTGTGTGATATGGCTCAGATAAGCGGGCTTGTTGCTGCAAAGGTGAAGCTTTGTCTTGCTTCTTCTCAAGTTTTACAGAGGATTTCTTTCCTATATATTTCATGATTTGCTTATTTTTCTGTGGTTTTTAATGCATGCTTGGTTAGGATATGCTGTTATTTAGTTTGAGCTTGTTGCACAAGGGCTACAAATTATTTGGTCCTTTGCTTAATATGATCTGCTGTGGCTATTGAGTTCATAGTTGTAATTTTTTCACATCTGAAGTCCTGCATGACTTCCATGGAATAGGACAAACTTGATAAAGCTTATGTTATCATCAATTACCTATGCCTTGAAATTTAGCAGTTGAAGAGATATTGGAAGAACTGATAGGAAAAACAAACAATGTCTATTTTACACGTTAGTCAAAGGAAACGTGCTATTGACAACCTATTTACAAAAGTGGGAGCGACCCTGGAAACATGGGAATTGGATCCTGAATTTGTGACTGTGGCTACAGCTGCAGTATTCCAATATGCATAACTCTTTGGCATGTAAATTATCTGTATATTTGACAACAACATTTGGCTACTGGACTAGAGGCCTTAAAGCTATTAAAAACACTTTAGGGAGTATAAGGCAGTACTTAGACCTCACTGCTGGCATCTATGATTGTTTCCCTGCAGGAGAGTGTGAGCCCCTTTGACTACTGTGACATTGTTACATCGACAACACACAAAAGTCTTCGAGGTCCAAGGGGAGGTATAATATTTTACAGGAAGGGTTCGAAGCCAAGGAAAAGAGGCATGCTTTTGAATCAAGGTGATGGGAGCGATAGATATGATTTTGAGGAGAAGATAAACTTTGCTGTTTTCCCGGCATTGCAAGGTGGACCGCACAATAACCATATTGCTGCCCTTGCCATAGCATTGAAACAAGTGGCTACTCCCGAGTACAAGGCTTATATGCAACAAGTGAAAAAAAATGCTCAAGCATTAGCATCTGCTCTATTGAGAAGAAACTGTAGGCTGGTAACTGGGGGCACTGACAACCATTTGTTACTTTGGGATCTAAGGACTCTTGGATTAACAGGTATGCAAATTTATTTATTTTTTGGGTTATATTTTGTTATGTTATGTTAATAGGATAGTGTTTCACCTGTCTTTGGGGCAACCGATGTATTTTTATGTGAAATTGTATTTCGGGTGTTTAGGTTTGTTATAATACTAAGACCCCTTTGCAACTTTTATATTCTAGTATGAAGGCATGCAATTATTTTTGTAGACGAGCTGGCTATGGATGTATTCTGAAGTAGATTATTAGAATTCATGATTTGCATGGATCATGATATAAAATTTACCCACAACAGGGGGCTCTTTTTGTACCTGGATCTTAGTTACAGTGATTAACCTTCTGTATTATAATTGCAAGGTAATTTTTGACTACAAACAAGGTAACGGCACCCAATGACATACACAGCTATGATGAATAAGTGCACCAAGACTATAACAACTACTATTCCAGAACAACAGGGATTAGTTTTCCCCTGTCCGACATAGGTACTATTTGGTAGTTTCGATTGTGAGGACATGTAATGGAGTGTCTGTATGAGCTTGGCTATACTCTACAGTACAACATTATAAATCAACATTTGCATGGAATATAATATATATTTGTGTGCAACAGAAGTGCTTTTATGTACCAGGATCTTATAGTTTCAACTGTGTATCATGTTTACAAGGTAATTTTTGAATTGTAAAAGTATCGTTCTTATGTTGGGACAGGGGGGAAGGAAATCTCTGTTGTTTTCTTCAGCATGATGGTGTATTTCATTGGGTCATAACTGAGTATGCCATCGTGTTTAAAAGAATTGCTTCAATTGGTACTGATGAATTCTTTATATCATTTTTGTCTGTTGTGAACAGCATTACCATGAGTTGATAAATTTCCACGTATGCAAGTGTCATGCTCCAAGTATACAGAAGGGCATTCAGCTACCAAATGCATTTCCACCCTTCCCAATTTAGAGCTACGATTTAGCATCTGCCTTTTTCAGATGTTTATCATTACGAGTCCGTGCAGGGAAATAGTGTTATGTTTCTGAGCATTTTAGAGCCTTTTTTAAGAAGCAATTGCCAGCCTAGGTGGTATTTTATTAATATTTGATTTCAACAAAATCCTCATACTATTCGCTTCTGAACAGAGTAAAAGAAAGGATCTCTTCATCCAGATTGAAAGTAAATAAGATTATACGGTCTATTCTGGTTCATTGATGTTGCCTCATCTAAGAGAATGGTTTCTACCTTCGTGATGCTTTTGCCATTGCCTTGTGATCTCTGTTGCCTGAGGCCCAGAACTAGAGGACTAGTGCTACAGTTAGAGGGTCTAAATAATATGATTGATCTCTTTTCTGAATTCCTTATTGATACCACAAGCAACATATGTAAATTTGGATTTTTTTTTTAATTTCCAAATCAACAACGTTCTTGAGTTGTATGCATGACATAGCCTAACCCATTCTTTTACATACAATTTGAATATACATATTCCCATTTCACGGTCAATGTATGGAATTTGCCTTATTAAAGATTGTAGATCATTTTATTCTCCGTATACTGAAGGTGCATGTGGCTCTTATGCATTGTCATGTTTTTTGTAGGTAAAAACTTCGAGAAGGTCTGTGAGTTGTGCCACGTGACTCTGAACAAAGTTACTATCTTTGACGATAATGGAACTATCACACCTGGAGGTGTAAGAATTGGTAAGTGAAGCTCATGTTATATCTTCTTTAAGTTTGTAAATTTATCGTGGGCTTAATCCATGGATTGTGCACGGCTTTCTTGTTTTTGATTATAGGTACTCCTGCTATGACTTCAAGAGGTTGTCTGGAGGCTGATTTTGAAACAATAGCTGACTTCCTTTTAAGAGCTGCACAGATTGCTAGCTCAGTGCAGAGAGAACATGGGAAGCTGCCAAAGGCTTTTCTAAAGGGTCTTGAGAACAACAAAGATATTATTGAGCTTCGCACTTGGGTTGAAAGTTTTGCATCACAGTTTGCGATGCCTGGTTTTGATGTATAAAGTAGTCTGAGTTTGTTTGTTGGTTGGGAAGGCTTTCCCACATCAGGGGTCTGAATCTTGCTGTACATCTTACTGGGGAAAAGACTCTTATTTCCTGTCCTAGCAATTGATTTGGCTCTTGCATGATGATAGAGCCAGTCTTTGGTGCTCAAACCAACCTTGGCAAAATCACGGTATGCTTACATGGTGAATTCTTGTTGTCAACTGGAGATACAAGTGTTCGCTTATGCACCAGTTTGGGTCTTGTGCTGCGATGTCAACTATCGTGGATGGAGCCAGGTTGGTGATTACAACTGAAACAATTATGCACTTGCTGAACTTGCCATACATTAAGTTTTTTTTTTTTTGTTGGGAACTTGATATCTAAATACATGTTTTGTTACGGAATGAAAACCCTTTGGTTTTCTTCATTGTGTTGCCGGTCTCATGGTTACTTGAGTCGGCTTTTAGGGTAATTTGTGGTTTACTATGTTTTGTAGATGCTAGGATTAATTAATGATCCACAGCACAATATCATTCTTTGTGTTACTTTTGCAAGGAACGCATTCTTTTGCACATTCTGCCTCTGCAAAATGTTTTGTATCTCGAGCAGGTTCTGGCAAACCTGTGCTGCAGATGAGGATGTTGAATGCATGTTTTGCAACACATCCCTATCTCCCCCCCTAAAAAGGTTGAAAACGAAAACCCCGTCTATAGCTTCTGGATGGCCGGCCTCTTTTAATTTGTAGGGTTGCCAATTCTGATATTTCTTTCCTGCAAGTGATTTTGCAATTATGGCAGAGATATGTGTTGTGTCGTGAAGGTTTTCTTTGAGCGTTTCCAAAGGAATAGCGTGGAGACTTTTGGATTTACCTATGGGTCGTATTTCAAATGTCAAATGTGCCTTTTCTCTTCACGCGAATATTGTAAAAAAACCAAGTTACTTGAATTGGTAAGTGAATGTTGAAACGGGTAGTCTCGCCATTACTATAGTATAAGCTTTTGCTTGCCATGTGCTACGCTTGCGGAAATTCTCTTGTCGAATCCGCTTCAAATCTTCAAGACCTTATTAACTCGGTTGTTGTGACTTGCGGATGTCGTCTTAGTGGGCCACTTATTTAACGACGGGGACAATTATAGACGAACTGGTAAAGAAAGTGAATTAATATGGTCGGACCGCACAGGAGTAGATTTTAATTTAACAGATGCTATTAATTTCTAAACTCGTTTCCTTTTTTTTTTTGAAGCACTTTCTATGTAACAAAAAAAAAAAAAGAAAAAAAGAAAGAGGGCGCCCAATTGTCCATCAGCTAATGGAACTAGCGAGGGTAACAACTGGCCGTTTTTCCTTCACTTCCGAAACTTGTCATGTTCTTGAAACCTAAATGATTATGGTCTTACAATTATGGAATTTTGATCTTTATATATGTGCGTGTCTGATGATTTTGCTGGAATCCTCTCTCTATCTATATTATTACTCAATTACCTAAATTTAGCATTTTGAGAGGCTTTTGGTCAGAAGCACTTGGAGCAATGCGATCAGAGACTTTACTGGGAACGTTAAACTACTAATTGGGCCAGACGTATTTGTTGGGAATCAAAAGGAAATTCTACAGAAGCACCGAAAAAAAAAAGCCCTTCCTATGAACTAAAACGAGGTCATAATTAAGGGTTTTGATTAGTATTTGATAATCAAGGAGTAGTATAATCGTATACTTGAGACGTATCAAAGAAAGGATGGCGTCAAAGACCAAATATAACAGCGTAGTTTCCGTGGTCAACAATTCCAATAGTTGTGCACTTTGTGATTCCCATACCAGCAGATTCCTTCTTCTCTTTCTTAGCTCTATCTCCTCTGAACAGTTTTTCTGTCCAGGAAAAGGAGGAGGGAAGTTAAAAAGAAAAAAGAAAAAAGAGAGCTTGTCCCTAACATTCCACAACTATTTCCAATTCCATCTTTTTATAGTGAATGCTGAATTTTGTATTAAGATGGAATCATTGTAAGGAATTGATAATATGTGAAGCATTAAATGGACATGGAAGTTGGAATTCACCATTTCCACATTCATTGACTTAGGACATACATAAGACATTACGGGGTCCGGGTTCTGTGTACCATCCTTGATGGGCTGTCTTTGGGATGGGTTCGATTTGATTTTCTTATGGTATCCTCAGGTTATTTACTTTGTTAATCGCACTTCTGCAGTTCCCTTTTGGTTTCATTTGGCCCCTTTGTTTCCCCCCTGTTTGGAGGAACCTTTCTCATTATGTTTAATCAGAATTTAAGTTCCTTTTACGGTTAAACTTAGTCTTGAGTTTAGATCGTGACATCCAATCAAGCACGCAATCAAGCCGCACAACCAACCCATATGCTTCATAATTGCTCCAACAATTTGATATTCGCTTCTCCATCCCTTAATTTTTCATTTTGTTTTTTTTTTTTTTGAAGGGGAAGAGTGGGAGAGGAGGGGGTGAGTTTCTTTTTGCTATCTTTTTTTTTTTTTTTTTTTTTTTCCGAAACGATAGAAATTTTATATCATCATAAACTGTACAATTTTGGAGCAAAGGCTCCTATCTTTACAAAAGTGCATTTAGCACTATGTAATGGCGTAGTTCCACTCCATGTCACAAAAATTCAAAAGAGCAATTTTGCTCAAACTGTAGCCTAAGCTATCAGTATCTTCATTCAACTTCCCAAAAGAGCACATTTGAAACCATAAGGACATTTGCTGGACATCCTCCATAATAGCAACTATCGCTATATTCCTAGCTTTCCCATTTGCTGGACATCCTCCATAATAGCAACTATCTAGAATGGAATTAATCGACTCTATACTGATAATATATATATTTTATACTAACAGTTTTGGATGTATGTCACGTGTGATAAAAAAAAAATTAAATTTGAATAGAGATTATATATCATGCATCCTGCTACTATTATAGCTTACAAGATCGTACAAGTCATGTATTGCAACAAGGAGGTAAAAAACATTTTTGTATTGGCCTTATATTTGATGCATATAATCTAGATGTGATAGATATGTAACTAAGAGCAAATTACTTCTTAAAGTCTTTGGATAGATTGAGCAGGAAATGGGGGAATACAGAAACGAAACGAATTACTTCTTCAAGTTTGGATTATTTTTTATGGGCAGAGAGGAGGAAAGACGAGGATATCAAAAGCCATCATCAATCCTGACCTGAGGAATCACTTCTTCAAGGAGGAAAGACATGTACAGCAAAAACCATCAAACCTTGCAATTCAGTTTTGTCCAAAATAAATGGATACTAACATAACAAAATGAATACGTCTCTGATCCCTTTTTCCTTTTCAATTCGTTTGGTCATCTCCTTCAATTCCAACGGCCCCTTTTATGCTACATATAATATCGCTCTGAAATGCTCATCCTTAGCTGGAAAAACAGTACACTTATGAATTCACAGTACACTCTTCTTGTGTTTCAAAAAGGGAAATTAAACTGGAATAGCTGCCTAGCAGTACTAATTAAGTACGTACCCACTGACCGCTATTAGACACAGCTGGTGGTAACAACGAAAAAGTAATGAAAAAAATGATTAGTTTCTGGCAATCGAATCATAATTTCAAGGTCTGAAAGCAACAATTCATCTTGCATGCTGCTGGATGGAAGTGAAAAGAGACCATAATATCATACTGCTAAGCAGAAAAGAGAAAAAAAATTTGGTGAAGAAGAATGGATCACGACATGTCTTTCACAGCTGGAGGAGTTGTAAAAGACAATACAATATATACACTGTCTTTCAGGTACGTGCGTAAAAGAAAGAAGGAAGACGAGAGAGCAGAAGACTTTGAGAAGCTTTTCATCATCATATAACAACAATAGCAGCAACACATACAAAAACCCTTTTACCTTTTTCAAATCCAAGGGGAACTGGAATCAGACAAAAGGGTTTCCTCAGAACTGCTATGCAGCAGCTCCCTCTTTTTTCCAACTTCTGATCGAGACGAATTGATGATCACTAAGAGCAAAGCCAAAGGAATCTCATAATAATATACATCCCCTTCCTTTTCCCTCTCTCTCTCTCTGGTCTTTCTTCTCTCCCTGGCCTCTTTCCAAAATCATATCGACCTTAGCCCACTTTTCCATTATTGTTTCACAAGTGGAATCATTAGTCATTTACTATAACCGATCAAAAGAATCTTCTCATCATATATTATTTCAGTATAGCAAATGATAACCCTACTTGATTGAGTTTTCAGCACAGATCAGGGCCATCCTTCCTTCAGTTACAACTCTGCAGTTACAACAATTATCATACTTATGCGGCCATGAATTATATATCACACTTACTTCCAACCGTTGATCACTTCCTTTAGGGTCTATTCTAAATTGATTCTTATTTCTGCAAAAGTCAAAAGTTGAGTTGAAAGAAAAAAGGAGCCAGATGAGTTAAAATCATCACACAACTGATTTTTCTAAAATCAGAAGTTAAAAGCAGGCAAAATCAGTTGAGAGTAGGCCCTTAGTAATTAGAATTAATCACCTGCGACTTCCTTATTTGAGGTTTGACTCATTCATAAACGGTAGAGATACTACTGTTAGGTTGCCAAATCTTGTGGATGGTAAAGGGAGGGACTTCTATGTCGAGTAATACCCAAAAAAAAAAAATAAAAAAAAATAATAACAGAACACCACACATACAGTTATTTCTCTTTTTTTTTTCTCCCCCCCCCCCCCTCAAAAAAAAAAAAAAAAAAAAATCTAAAATTCCCTGCATAATTAGCTTGGAAAAAAATAGGTCGCCAGCTTTGTTGCTTTTCCAAGTTAGCAGACAATTTTTAATGGAAAAGACATCGAAAGTGTAATGCATGATGCCCTTTTGAACACTAGCGACTATCATTTTGATTCATTTTCTGAACACTTCACCGACTTTCTCTGTACTAAAAGTCAACAACTTGCACGTGCTTAATCTCCTCCTTGTGTCAATTGGTTCCACCCTCCCTCCCCCTTCTGCCTGAACATTTCATCGACTTTCTTGGTACTAAACGATGAACCAGGTTAAATGACCAAACTATTCGATTTTCGAATCGAGTTGGATTTGATAACAGTTCGTTCAATTTTGGTTTGCCAATTAATCTAACCAAATTTGAACAGCATTTTATATTCGATAACATAAAAACTCGTTCAAAATTTGATTTGAGTTTGATTAGGCTCGTTTACATCCTTACACCTGATTAATTCTCTCCTCGACAAATTGGCTAGATTAGGTTAATCCTAGTTCCCACTTGCAAATGCTTTCCCATCTAATTAATGAGTGTTTTCTTCTTTAATAAAATAATGATAAAGCTAAACAGCATTTGATGCCAAATCTGTCCAGGAAAAGAAGTTTTCTTTCCGCTTTTATTTGAAGACGTGGTGTATTTATCGATGTCTAAATCAAAATTAGTTTTCACTGCTTTATTAGCTTTACCAGATTATGATTTGCCGGTAAATTTGCGAACAATAACAATTCTGCAAGCTCTAAAGCAATGTGAATTAGACAAATTACTATGGATGTCCGGGAAAAAAAGAGGGTGGCGAAAATAGAGGTTGACCAAGAAAAAGGTTTCACTTACTATCGTAGTTGTCCTTTTGTTGTACATTTATGTGCCTTTGGTAATTAAATTGTAGTGCAGTAGGGAAGCATCATTCTTGCTTACTGTACCTGCTATAATTACGTTCTTGGGCTAAGTTTGCAACTAAACATACATTTAAAATCGTTATTATTGGAAATCATAATTTTGTATTTTTGAGCATTGCTCCACTCCACTCCGCTGCACCTTAAAGCAACTGCTGGCTTGGTGCACTCAGTCAAGCATAGTATCAGTCTAAAATTACGATAAGAGCTTTTTGTCATGTTAAACACTTGCTATACACACGTCTAACAAAAAGATACTCCCTCCGTCCCACTTTGATAGTCCTGTGTTCCTTTTCCATCTGTCCCAAATTGTAGTCCACTTTCCAATTGAAGAATGTAGTTGTATTTTCATTTTCCTAAAATACCCTTATTCAATGTAAGTAGTTGTTACTATAAATTTACCCCATTTAATGAGAGTTGATTCTTTTTTTACCATCAATTCAAGTTCCCATAAAGTTGTATCATATTTAATGTGAGGGTATTTTAGGAAAATAGCAATCTAAACTTACTTTTCAAACAAAGTTAACTACTTTTTCTTAAACTGTGTGAAAAAAGAAACAGGACTATCAAAGTGGGACGGAGGGAGTAACTATCTCTAACAAACACACACACACACACACACACTAGCTCTCTCTCTCTCTCTCTCTTCTCTTCTTTTTTTTTTTTTTTGAAAATAACCTCTAACCCTCATTAAAAGTGATTCAAAGAGCCAATTAGCAAAAATCAGGTTTGGCAAATGCATGTTAGGTTCACTTCATTTTGGCATTCACTCTAATAATAATCCATTTAATCAGTCGAGGAAATTTTAAGTTTAGTGGTTAAAATTGAGACCCAAAAACTAAGTTTTTGGAATCCAATCGTACTGCCTATTCCCCACTTCTTAAATCCCACCCTTCCCTGTTAGGAAAAAAAAATTATTTAATCACTTATAGTCGAATTATATATCTTTCTACTATATATGTCGACTCAAGTTAAATTTATTAACTCAGAAATCGGTCTTTACCAACATTCTTCATCACTAACGGGAAATGAATCGTCCAATTTGACTTGTGAAACACTAATCTTCTTCTGAAGTTATCATAAGTATCTAATACACCATTCCTTTTGCTTGGCCTAAGCTGTCTTCTATAATCAATTCTTTCACTAAAATGATTGCATAAACATTATTCATGTGGGTTTCCAATCAAATTTAATCTCTATGATTAACAACAAAACAACACTCCTTGTCATAGTTAACTTATCTAACTCTCCTCTATGAAATAGTATAAGGTAAAATGGAAAACCATGCATGGACCAAGATAGTGATGAATTTCCTAACTTGACATAGCACTAGACTAAATGCTGCCTTATATCAACATTTCATGGCCTCTGAAATACTTGATCCTGGTGGCTGCTTTATAATGTATAATAATCAAATTCTTTGGGGCAAAAGGGCAAATAAAGAAAAGGTAGGGGAACGGGAGGCTGGCGGTTGTTATTTACTTACTTGTACATTTATTGTACAGTTTTCCACTTGAATTTGAGCGTTTCAAAGCTATCATAGAATTTGATGTTACATAGCTTTGAAACGCTCAAATTCAAGTTATCAGCCTAAGAGAATACTAAAAGATATGACTTTCAAGTTGATTCTATCATTCTAATCTATCTGATTAATCTGTAACTTTTGGTCCTTAGGGTGAATAATATTGGAAGCATTTTTGTTTTGTTGGTAGAAGAATCTTAGGTCCCGTTTGGATTGCATTTTCCGTCATTTTTCATGGAAAAAATACTGTAGCGATTTGATGTATGTGAGGAAAAAAGGTAATAGGGAAATGTGTTCACGGAAAATGATGAAATTTTTCTACGGAAAACAGCAATCCAAGCAAGGCCTTATGGTTTCTTGGGAAAGATTTTCACATTTACCGATCAGGCTTATCTTTGTCTAACATATTCTTCTTGTTTCTTCCTTTAAGATAGCATATTATTGTTCCCTTTCTTTGAAAGAAAGAATCATATTCTCTTTGCTTGAAGGCAATCCTTCATGTATTTTTATAGTAAAACTTCTCCTCAAAGCTTCAACCATCACATTAGTGGTAGTAGCAAAACAACCATATCTCAGACTAAAAATAACAATTGGTATTAAAATACACAACGAGGAAAATTTAAGGAAAACAAACCAAAAAAGGGAAAAAAAAAAAAGAGAAAGAAAGGAAGGTGAAGGGGCTAAAAGAAAAAGAAACTACTACTCCACTAACTGATTTTCTTACACTTTGATGATCACCAATCTGTTTCTCTAGTCTCCCTACTAAAGCTAAGGATTGCAGCTTGGAATATTGGAACATATGGAAGAATCTCCTCTCCTCTCTCTTCTGAGTCTTAATCTTACCTATGAGTACACATGTCTGAGAGCTTCTTTCTTCCCTCAACAATTTCATCAAAGAAGTCATCAAGTTGGGCAACCATGCTTTCTGCACCAGCTTTGAGCATGTCAAAGCAATTCTTGAAATTTTCAGCCTTATCCTGAATGTCTATTTCTGATTCATACATCATTTTTCTTTCTAAATCCTCTTTCAGCTCATCCATTGCGATCCTCGCCCTCTGGAACTCATGAAGCAGGATTCTTGGCTGTCCTTGGATATGGTTTATCTCTGCAGCAACTCTCTGATGCAATCTTGCCGTTGAGACCATGAAGGCCGATCCAAATACCATGTTCCCTTCATAATCTCCTTGCCAGAGGCTGGTGTGGGGCCAATAGTAAACAAGGCCACTGAGCATGATCAACAGAAGCAATGAGCTGACATTCCTCATTGCATACAGGACACCTCGAAATCCGGTGAACCCATTGAACTTTGATTCAATCAGCACGTTTTCATCGAACCTCAATGCTAGATGTTGGGCCCTTGATTCCATCAAGCTCTTGTTTTCCTCTTCCAATGCCACTATTTCCCTTTGGCAACCGGTGAGTGCTCGAAATACCTATCCAACAAACAACTCATTAGAACACTTCAAATTGTATCTTATGTTTTTAACCACGCAGGTATCTAAAATATTTGATCAAACAAAAAGTTTTTTCACTGGTTTAAAGAAATCGCATGATCATCAAGAGACTAACCTGGCGGGAAAGTTGCATGTTTAAAATAGCATGATCATCAAGAGAAGAAGCAATATTGGTTCCAGCAGAGTAGTAGTTCTCCATGTTGCATACCCCTGATTTCAGTATGTGGCAGGCCTCCCAGAGCCTGGAGCTTTCATCCATGTATTCGTCGAGCCATTTCTCGCCAACAGGCAAATGAAGCTTCTGAATCAAAAAGGTCAACTGGGAGTGAAAGGATTGGAGCAAGGAGAGAACCTGTTGAAGAAACTGGAAAGACATGAAATTTTGCGAGAGGAATAAATGGTCCAGGTTGTCAAGGCCCCTGGTGAGGAAGTTGTAGAAGCCATTGACAGAAGTTGTTGATGAAGAATGACTCATCATGGGAAGCAAGTATGTAAAAGGATGGACTTGTTGGTATGTTATGAGAAAAAGGTGATAGAGATTGACAGATATTTAAATTGAAAGTTTATACTAGAAGTTGTAGAAGGAGGAGGAGGAGAAGAAGCAAAAAGTGTTTATAGACTTGAGTGCTCAGATTTCTATACGATGATAAGGATTGGTTATTGGGAGCAATGATGTTTGTTTCCTGCAGAGTGGAGGAGATGATTGAGAATCTGCCAATGTACCATTATTTAATGGCAGAAAAGAAATGCAGCTGGCTAGGGAGAAAAGAAAAAAAAAAGAACCAAAAAGGTTAGATAGAAGAGTCTGCAATGCAAGTTCAACAACAACACAGGAGTCAATATAAACTTAATAGCTTTAATTTCACACTTTTTTCTTCTTCAAAAAGTGAGTGAATAGGAGCAGTGAGAAAAGGAATCCACAAAAGAAGATAGCAATTACTGGGCTATGTTAGATTCTTGTCCGTAAAATTTCAGTTACCATACTTTTATATCTGTCTCTAAAGGGGGGTTTTGCTAAAATATGTGTATTGACAAGTGATAAATAGGGAGAAAATCTGCAATCTTTTGGAGCTCTTTATTCCATGACGCTATAGATTTTGTTTCTTGGGCTGTAAAAGTTTGACTAGTTTGACTGAGGAATGATGCCTTCTCATTCTTCAATTTTGATTTGGTTCCCTTTAGAATTGAGTGCTGGTGTTGGCTGCTCCAGTACCTTTTTCTCTTTCTTTCCATCCAATTTTTGGTTGTCCTATTTTATTGAGCAACTTTTGGCTAAGTAACTCCTTTATGTGGTTTTCCGCCTGGTTTTGCTTTAGTTTTTTTAAGGAAAAGAATGATGAGGTTCCACGAATACAGATTATAAGCAGGAGATGCTTCCCTTTTCTGTCCCCACCATTCTATTTCGGGCACTATTATCAACCCTTTTTGTGTTTTTCATGGAGAGGAATATATTTGGCCCTTCACATTAAACTCGAACTTGACCCGATTTTAATGGGGTCCCCCAACCCCTCCCAGCCTACTCATGATCTCTTAATTTAGCATGAAATAAAAAAGTCCAATAGCATATTTTTATCATTTCTTTAAACTGTCAATTCGAGCAGAAACTAAAAGGAAAAAAAGGAGAAGAAATACAGAGTTTATATAGATCTAATTTTCATTGATAAAGAAAGAGGAAACCTATTTTCTTTGTTATATTCTCTGGCATCAATGTGGCATAATAAAGGGAAACGTTTTTTGCACTTCCACCATTTATTTTATTATATGATATGGTCTAATAAATGAAAACTGTATGATTACGATGATCGTAGCAGTGTGATTAACAAAAAATGAGAGTGAAAGTCTTCACTTTTTGTTTTTTTTTTTCAAACAAAAAAAATGGGAGTGAGTGATAGTAGGAGTGTGATTAACAAGGAGGGGTCACAGCCTCACAGGGAAGGGTAGCAGCCTTCCTCCTGCTGTTGCTGCTGCTTGTATAAATGATATTGGCAGAGTACAAATCCTGACCAACACCCTAGGGACCCTGGTGGCCGCTGGACCAATTGGTTTAAAAAAATGAGAGTGTAAATAACATTTGCTTGTAATAAAATGAGGCGAAAGCAATATCCATCATGACTGTAATAATCCAATTTCAAAATTTGATTTTCAGAGGAAGCATTAAACTGGTGGTGAATATGCTAGCAGGAAGGGTTTGGTGCTTAAACTTTTTTTTATTTGTCAAAACGATAACATTTGTATTGATTTAAAACTTGATAATACAAGTATATACTTTACAAAAGGGGCAAGCTGCCCTCACAATCCTTTCTTGCTAGGTCTTTTATCCAGCCCGGAAAATTTGTTTCCCAATATACATCATTAACTAGCTTCAAAGCAAATTATGCTAGCCTATGACACACTTCATTTCCTTCTCTATATATAAAGGAGAAATTGCATTGATCAAAAAACATCCTCAGCTTTTGTGGTGCTTAAACAGTGGCGTTCAACCTCAAGCACAATAATGCACATTGGAAACAGAACGATTTTAAAGAAGACTAGAAAAGTGACATTATAGTCATACTGCAGGAGGTCACAAGTTTAAGATTCTGACTCTCCTATTACCCATGACCAAAAAAAAAAAAAAAACCAACACCGATCATAAAGTATACAGGAAAAGAACCTAGAAAAGCTTGTACTAACAGTAGTTTAATTGGCAGAGTTTCAATATGTTGGGTACATACCCATATAATTCTTGAGTTCAACTTTCTTTTTTTCTTTTCTGGGGTACGCCTTGGTGGAGGAAAGAAAGTTCTTGAGTTTATTGTCACGCGGCCCTAGCTAAGAGATTCTCTTACGTCCTTTCTGATCTTGCAAACTTTCTACAACAGTTTCTGTCCATCAATGATGTGCAATGAGCAAACTTCTAACAGTATGCTGAAGAAAACTCAGTAAGTTTGTAAAGGAAATGACATCCAACATATGTACGTGACTTCTTCACACCAGGTTATGAGTGGGGCATGAACTTTGGTGACAGGCAATCAATACGCCTTATAAAAGTTTATGGAAATTCCGTTACAAAATCAGTCAAGTCTCTCAAAAGTTACACATCAAGGTAACCACTAAAATTTGCATTCACCATAGAGTTTACACAAGTTTTCTGAACGAATGCGCGTTTGAAATTGCTATTTTTAAGAGTTTTGACAATTTATGCCAAATTTAGCCACTACTATAGTAAGACCCTTATGCATGAATTTGTTATCATGTTATTTAAGACTTGCGAAAATTATCTTTAAACAAACTGTTTCGTTAAGACCCTTATAAGTGTAGGACAATAGTACTATATGTACATTGTCCGCATCAAAATCATGCCAATGTGGGGATCATAACAAGGATGGGACACCATTACAGACGTTTCTGATGGTGCAATTGGGAAGAGAGAGGGAGAGAGGGTTGTCAATCAAATCCAAGCATAGGCGATTTGCATGGAAACCAAAAGGGCAATCGAAATTTGCCAACCAAAGTGGCACTAGTGCTTTGATATCCAACACCAGAGTTAGCATTCCTACGCGGACATATTGGTGGACTGCACTACTAGGCTTCTAGCACAAATCCGGGATCTAATGCATGCATAAGATCAAGAGGATTAGGATTCTGAAATAATGAGTGATGCACTTATATGTATAGTCCCTTGCCATGAGAACTCATCATCGCATCCCTTGGTTAGGACTTTTTTGTTGACTTGAGAAAGATTTATCACTCACATCCGGGATATCAATCAGGCAGTCTTGGAAAGAAGAAGAGATTTGAGGTTGATAGCTAATATTGACTGAAGATATGTTTGATTTGAGCGTCAATTTAAAGTATAATGGGCATTTGTGACTTCAATCTGGCAAATGCTCCCTTCTTTGTGTGTCTTTTTGTTAGCACTTTTCAAGGCATGGGTTGAGATGAAGACAAATTGCAGCAGTTCAGTAGCATGCACTTGAAGTAAATAGTTTGTTAGGACACTAAGCTGCACAATCCTGGATAGATGGTTCATAGGTGGTCGAGAGGGAGCCACGTTCAATAGTATGGACAATTGCAGAGGATCTATCAAGGCTTCGTGAAGCTAAAATGTAAATCAGAATCTAATGTTGTCTATACAAATCAAGAAAAAAAACTAGTACTGATTTTAAGGCAAGCTGCAGGTTTGTGAACACAAAGTTGAGAAAACGGAAGATCTAGGCGCTCGAGCATTATCGGAAGGGCAACCTTAGACTGAATATCAATCGTTTATGTCCCGAATTCTTTAAATCTGGAATTTCTTTAATCTGATACTTTCTTTTAAAGGACAATTAAGAAGAAAGACGGTGACTAATAAGGAGCTTGGCTTGCATTCTGATCAGAACTATCACAGATTTAGGTTTTTCATACAATTGAAGTGAAATGATCATTCCGGTGGCCGAACTGCTGGTAGACTACAAGAAGGATGTACTAGTTTTGATACATCCCTCCCTAGCATTCAAGTATTATTATAAGAGATTATCTAACACTTCATCACGGAACTGTGATCTTCAATGAAGAAAATTTTGTCATTGTCTCTTATCACTTCAATGGAATCAATTTCAGCTCCTCCTTCACTTACCACCGCTGCATTTGTTGCATCAAATCCGAACTTTTTACCTGTTGGAGAGATTACAAAGAAGTTTAACTCCGACTATTGAAACCATGTATTAGTTTCTGCAAATTTATTGATACTTATGAAATCATGTCTCATAATCAGGAATTTTGAACTTAAAGTGACCTTCACTATACATAATAGCACCAAGATAGATTCTTCCAAAGAGCATAACTCAGATTTGAGAGGAAGTATTTCAAGTTGGTCACCTATAATTTAAGATGAAAGGATTTCATTTTTTAGCTTTATTTTGGAAGCAAAAGAAGAGTTAATAGTACGACAAGGATGAAAGCCTACTGAATGGGAAAGGAAAATAAAATGGTTCAGAGAACATCTAGTTAAAAGTGAAGCAAAATAGGATAATAACAAGTACCACAAATTTGACGAAATTACCTGCAATGTTCTTGAGCTCCGTAAGTGATTTTGGCAAGCTGATTAATCTTCCAGGCTCACTGCAACGTATATCTTTCCTGATGACAGGATGGCCTCGATATATACTCACCCTTACGCTCACCCTCGTAGAACATGTGCCTTCAGAACATTCCTTGTCACATTCATGCTTTATCTCATTCCACTTAAAGGCATCTTGACCCAGTGTATCAGGTACTGTTATCCGATGTCCTACCTCTCGTTTTTGCAGCATTTCATTTACATTAATAGATGAAAGTTTGTGCTTAATTATATCATCAACCTCAGCTCCATTCATCAAGAGAAGTTTGATCATGTCTGTTTGGTTTTCTGTTACGGCAACTTGAACAGCTGTCATGCCGTGGGGATCTTTGGAGTCAATATGAAGTCCCTGTTTCAAGAGCTCTTTCATAACTGCAGCATCATTTTTTCTTGCTGCAGTGCATAAGAGGTCACCAGCAAGGTAGGGATCAGAAATGGACGCCCAGTGGTAGAGAATTCGGAATACTGGTTGGTGCTTTGCTGCTACAGCTTCCCAAATTGCAGTATTCCCATCTATATCTGCCATCCGGGAAGATTCTCGCATGTTAGACTTGTTTCCCAGGGAAATATCATTTAGTTCAATATCTATATTAAGAGAGATTAGGATGTTCTTTTACCCTGCAGGTATATGTTACATCCGTGCTTAAGGAGAACCACTACACATTCTTCATGCCCTTTCGTTGCTGCTATATGCTGATAAATTAGAAAAGAAACATAATATGGACGTTGTTTATAAAAGTAAACAAAATTAAGCATATTTTATGACTACTGGAGCTATCAGAATTAACAACTAGTGAACAAAATTTACTTCTTGTGAAATGGAAATCAGTCTTTTGGGGCTTTACATAGATATGCCTATCGGAATATCAATCTCTAAAAGAAATAGAGAAGCCCTACAATTGTTCAAATTGTTAAACAGAAATTGGTTAAAGTCTATAATGGTCATAAAAATTTCAAATTGTGAACATAGTTTTTCACAGGTATAACGCACCAGTACTGAAGAACTTACCAGTGGGGTTCTACCTTTGGAGTCTCCAACATCAGGATCCAAACCTGCCTTTAGAAGCTCATCTAGAAAAGCAGCATTACCCGTGCTGGCTACTGTCAGCAAGTTGATAGACAAATTTGGATCACCCTCTTCTTCCACACCTTCAAGAAATAAATCCCCAAGACACAAGTCTTTAAGGTTTTTGTGATGCTGCAACAGCCAGAAAAAGCCTTAGCTGTACATGTAACCTTTGAAGATCAAGGCAGTTAAAAAAATCATGTCCCTGAACTAGCATTGCTTAGAGTCTTTTGTCATAGCTCGGACAAAAACTCTCAGGCACATAAGTAAACCAAGTAACTATTATCTAAGAGATCCTTACTCTGAATTCTTTTTATTTTTAACATTAAATAGTTGGTGTTACTTGTCTGATTTTGGTGAAAGCTTATCACATTTGTAGTTAGCATTTTTCTAGCCAAAATCCAGCTGGAGCAGTTCAAAAATCAAAGATCGACAGCAGGATATTTTTATATGGAAATTAACGTAAGGATTGTTCTATGAAAAGATTGGAGCATTTAATAATCATGCCAAAGTAAGAAGTTTGAGATAAAAAGCTGAAAATTCCTGAAGAACTAGTTTTCCTGAGAAATGAGTTTAGCGTCTTACACTTAAGACAGGAAAGAAGCATATATAGCAGCTTAAACTGACTAAATAGGAACAACATATACCTTTAAAAAGTTCCTAATCATTGCAATGTTATCCTCTCGATTGATCTTCATGGCTTCAATCAGGGCACTGGTTTTCAGCCTCAACAGTTGTGAAAGCATCTTGGTTCGATATGTAAAGCATTGAGGCCTGCAACAAAATGCTCCGACTTCTCCAAACATGTCTCCAGGTTTTAAAGTCCAAACAACTTTCTCTTTTTCCATGTCGGATGCGATTATTTCCACTTCTCCTGATACGATGATGTAAACATCGTCTGGTGCTTCGTTATGCAATATGACATCTTCTCTAGGGGGAAGATATTCGGCCATCACATCTGCAACCTGATCAATTCAATCAAAGTGCAAGGACATCTTAAAAAATGGTGTCATCAGAACTTTTAATTCTTTATATAAAACAAAATGTTCAAAGAAGCAATCAAATGACTGGTCTTTTTGAGCCTTTTAGCATACAGATTCAAGAAAATGGACTATATCTTCAAATTTCACTTGTGATGCAACTTACCAAAAGTAAAATATTTTCTCTGGAAACACCCTTGAAAAGGTAAACCTTCTCGACCGTACGCAAAAATAAATGTTGACGGATACTCTTGCAAATACTTCTGGGCAGCTGTTCCATCAGCTCTTGGTGATTCAAGCTTTCAGCCTTAAATCTTAGACACATATAAGCTATGATCTGCTCCTTCAACCTGGTAGGCAAGTGATTTCGGTTCACAAAATTGGATGCAGCTTCAATGCTATTTCGCTGCAACATCAGCCAAAAATGTCAAAACAATTGGCAACCAAGTTAGATTGGCCATATGACACCAGTACTACAGTATCTAGTACAAACTAGGGAATAATGAGGAAGAAAGATTTGAAATAAATGCGTACAAATTCCATGGTTCGACGAGTCCCTTCAACAACCAAGTTTGTCATGTTGCCAATGATGTAAGCAGTTAGTCCAAGATTGAAAAGCATATAGAAAATTATGAATATCATCTCCAGAGTGTTCACTGCATGCATATCACCATAACCAACCGTAGTCATGGTGGTGATAGACCAGTACATAGCAGAAACGTATCTGAATCCTAGGCTTGTCTCTCTGAAATTTGGAATTGCAACTCCAAGCCAGGTTTTCCCTTCATGTGGATAGCGATCAGCTAGCAAATAATACAAGCATCCAGCACAATGCACAAGAAACAGTGTCACCTACAAGCAAGATAGTACCAAACTAACTTCAAAGACTAATGATTCTTGTCTCATTCCCATGTCAGTTTGCTCTCTCTGATAAACACAAAAAAAAAAAAAAAGGGAAGAAGAATACTAAAAGATGTTTCCAACGGACACATTTTTGCTTACATTTTACGAAAGGAAGATCATCACCGAGTTCACAAACATCAGAAAATACCTGGATAAACTTAGTCTTGTATATTGACTCTTTAGATATTTATTGTATCGTTGGTCTACACAAGATCATATGTCAAGTGCAATTAAACTCCATTTACAATTAACCGAGCCTATCAATATTCTAGGCCTCCAGCAACAATTTGAGCAAAAAACAATTGTACACTTGACTAGAGCCCATGAATGGATATATCGGCCTCCAGCAATAATTCGAGACACTAAACAAGCGTCTATTAACTATATAATTGACTACAAGTAGACTTGAACCCTAGCCCATGAATAGATATCCTGGGCCTCCAGCCATAATTTGAGCCGCTACACTCACTCCTGATTGGCCCAATTGGCAGACAATTGAGTTTACCCGCTAATTTACTCCAGCTAACTAATAGCTATGGCCTGAGATCCGTTGTTTGGATTGAAGTTTTTTAAAGAAAAGTTTTTACTTTTATGATATTTTTTAATTTATCTCATGTACTCCCTCCGTCCCACTTTGATAGTTCTGTTTTCCTTTTTCGTCTGTCCCAAATTATAGTCCACTTTCCAATTGAAGAATGTAGTTATATTTTAATTTTCTTAAAATACCCTTATTCAATGTAAATTGTTGTTACTATAAACCTACCCCATTTAACGAGAGTTGATTCTTTTTTTACTATCAATTCAAGTTCCCATAAAGTTGTACTCTAATTAATGTGAGGGCATTTTAGGAAAATAGCTACTTAAATTGATTGTTTCAACAAAGTTAACTACTTTTTCTTAAACTGTGTGAAAAAAAATCAGGACTATCAAAGTGGGACGGAGGGAGTATATTGAATCTTTATAATATATATATATATATATTTATAGAAAATTTAGAAAAAAAAAGCAATCCAAACGGGAAAATTATGGCATTTCACTTACAGATAATAGCCAAGCACATCTGACCCAAAAATAGTTGTATCTAATGTCCTTTTCTAGCCTGCAGGAAAAGAAAGGAGGCATATAAAGTGCATTAAAATTTTGACTACTTGGTTTGCCAATTTTTTACTACTAGTAGCTACGGTAGGAATTGATAGATACGTGCATGAACTAGAGCTTGACATGGTGTATAGTAATTAACCTTTTGAAGAACTTCTTAACCCGCCTCATACGCCAGAATCTGAGCATCCCCAAAACTGAATAAGAGAGACCACTTTGATGTTTGCCCGTAAACAAGAAACCTATCGTCTCGAAGGGGATTGTTGAGGCCACATCCATTAGAAACCACGTTGACAGATACCTGCATGCATGTGCATGGGGGGTTTAATTTTGTAATTAATTAGCCTGTACTTGTTTGTTTCAGCTGGAGCATTTAAAGCATTAATAATATATATATCAGAGAGCTAACAATAATCTTTGCTAGCTAATTATAACCCTGCCCTGCAGTTAACTAATCTTGTGAAAGGAAAGGGAGATGCTGTTGTAATTGTCAAAGAGCTAGCTAGGCGAAAGAAGTTGCCAGGTATTGATTGGCCAATTTCTTTCACAGCGACGTACGGATGAGGCTAAAAATTGTTATGGCAAGCAAAGATGGGTTTGGTGTCTAATCGGGTAGTGGTAGGCTGAAGTTGGCCGGTTAGATATACTCTGCCTTCCTCGCTCATCCACCAAAAAAGAGACAAATCATTTGTATGTAGGGGCAGGAGATTACTAAATTCGGTTCAATTATTTGGACAAACATATATGGCGATTTACTCGAAACAACACCACTGGAGTGGTCCAATTGCCCACCACTGGAGTGGAGAACACATAATTAATATGATATCCCCCAAAACCTCAAGTACAATTAACAGAGAGAGGAGATTAATTTTATATCATTCTGATCTATCTTAAGTAAAATATTATATTGACCACGTTTTCCGGCCGTATATAAATTTCAGCTTCGGTGGGTTCTTTTTTCACAGAAAGAATTCCCATCGTGCACGGGCTATTATTAACTCCATGCCGTTTGCTTAAGAGACAAATATCAACAACTTTTAATGGTTACAAGTAAGCTTCCATTGGCCCCGACCCCTCACCACCCACCGAAGAAGAAAGATAATGGTGTATACACTGTCAATTAATAAAAAATAAAGGGCAAGAATTTACCAAACGGTTGATGGCAGGATTATAACTAATGACAGGGTCTAAAATTTTTTCTAACTATTTGACCGTACGTGGACCGTGTGTTTATGGATCATTGATCTCAGCCAGAAATTAAAATATGGTGTTGAAAATAAAGCACCCGCCGACATAGATGATAGATCATAGATCGCGAACAATATGAAACACATGGAAAATGAACCAAACTTGTGAGTTGGGCCGCCGGGCGAGCATGAGCATGAATTAGTGGTGCACTGACCTTTTAGCAATATTTTTGGAGTCGACAACTAGTAGCTGGGTTCTGGGATCGATGTACGCGACGAAAAATGTTAAGACAATATCAACTGCGAAGAAGAAATCAACAATGTTGTCTGCTATGTAGAGCAGTTTCTTTGGATGGGAGCTGAGAAATGCAATCTCAAAGGGGCAAACCCATGCCGAGTATGCCACCAAAATGACCATTAGCGACTCCCAACACCTGCAAACAAAGCCATCCTCAACCATTCATTCGATCCCTTTTGTCATCACTTTACCATTATTGCTTCCCCCTTCGGGTTTTTGATTTTTATATTTTTTAAATCATCAAATCAAAGCTAGCTATAGATTTTGAGTAAATTCATCTAGTATATATATGCTGTTGTTTTTTCGGTTCAAAGGATACTCCGAGCTTGTAGTATAGGGGGATTGGGAAAAGCAACCACTTGAGAGTTGAGAATCGAACCAGAGTTCTAATATAGTCAATACTGAGCATTAGTACTACGTACGTTAACATCCAAAATAGGGTGTACACTGTACACAGAAACTATAAGTATCTGTGGGCTTTTAAATGAGGGAATTTTGAACACTGCTGGATTTCTGTGGCTCTCATACCTTAGCGTGTAAAGGAAAAAGGCAGGCATTTATTTATCCACATGCCTCGTTCCATGACTAGTACTATTTGCCCAAAAGACATATAAATAAATGGAACTTGAAAGTCACCTGTATCTTGAATCCATTGGAAAAATGATCCTCCCTTTGAACTGAGTCTGGTTTTGGTCGTAACTTGAAGCACCCAGTGGTGGAAGAATAAGCTTTGACAAGTTTCGCAAACTAAGATCTTTGGAGCCGGTACTCCCATCTTCCTCCCCATAGTCACGGCCGTGTGGTATTTCAGACTTGTCCTGTTGGCTTTTCTTGCCATTCTTGTTCAACCTGGAGCAAGAGGATAAAGTATAAGCCCAACATTTGTTTTCCATTATTTCTCAGGAAAAATGTCTCAGCACTTGAAGGAGAGGTGATGTGGGTGTAATCTTGAGCTGATTTTATTCAGAGTTTGCATATGGGTCGAAGGAAGCAGAAAAGACTGAAGAGAAAGAATTGTGGTGTGAGTAAGATGCCATGGTTGGTGGTCCTCTCAAGCACTACAAGACTATGGTACAAGAAATGATCCCTCCATTATGTTTGATTGAGAGATTTGTAGTGAAAAGAAATGAAAGTTACTTGCATTTTTTGATTGATTGCCATGCGATAAGGGGCATGTAATCCGAATGTTGAAGGCTTCCAATAGTTTGGACCCTTGTGATGATGTGAACTCAAGGGCCCTCTCTATTGTTTTCTCATTCTCTTGCAGAAAAATACATGTGCCCCACATAATTGATATTGCAATGAATCCTACACACAATACAACAGCCAAATTCACTTTCTCATGTTGCTTTTGTAATTTGTACGAGCAGGGTCTTGTAGCTAAGTAGTAGTTTTTTTTTCTTTTTTTTTTGGAAGTATGATAGTACAACAATATTATAATTGGTCCTATATTGAGAAAAAGGTAAGGGAGATAAATATAAAAATCTATTGAGGGGTTCGAAAGCAATTAACTAATCTTCGGCCATACTTTAAAAAATTCCGAAGAGGAAACATGGTTAGGGCTCATACTTTAAAAAATCCCCTAACCTATGCCCACGGAGGGATTTAGTCCTCCTCTGGTGGCTAACTAAGCCATAGCTCAATTGGCTTAAAAAAATTAGCCCTTTTCATTTTGCAAGCGTTATTTCACTTTTAAAACTTTTTTTTTTTAATATGAATATATCGGAGTTTGACCTAAGTGTTCTATTTAAAGGATCAATGGATCTTGTCTAGTATGTCATATCGAATGAGTTAGGTGAAGTAGCACAGTATTTAATTTGTGACAGACGATGGTACTATGTGTTCATCGCTTGTTGATAGTACCATATATTCGTTTCTCAATCCATCGGAATTATCATAGGCTGATGATGGCTCCATGCAGCGGAATCTGTTGAAAAGCAAGAAAGATGTTTTAAATGTTTTTCGTTTTTCATGCTCGTCAACATTTTAGCATCATTCTCTTGACTTGCCGAAGGCTGTAATAATCGAGTCTTGCAACCATCAATTTGGTTCCTGTTTTTGGCTATTGCCAAGGGGACATGTTGGATAAGTTTTGCAGGTACAAGCACAGCAACTTAGTTAGATCATGATTGATGATATTAGACAAACATAGGAGGCTTGGTAAGAAAAAAAAAATATATATATAGTAAATCTTATATACACTGACAGTGTATATATCATTGTTTAAGTTGAATTTTAAATTCAAATTTTGCATAGTTGTCATTCATTCAATGCTGATAGTGTACACTGTTAATATAGAAAAGATTAATTTATATATATATATATATATACACACGCGCGCGATCCTAGGATTCTCAACCCAGATAGATAAAACTCACAGAAAATAGGCCACGCAGAAAGAACAGAGTCAAGCTTCCTCATAAGAAATCATGTTCGTTCAGTTTTGGGCATCAAAAGTGTCTTGTCAACGATGGGTTCTCATTTCTGGTTGCTAACAAGATAGAGAGGAAAACAAAAAATCAGAATAAGTCATCAGTTGGAATCAAATTAAAGGCTTTTAATGCATTTTACTTGTTTATGTCTTCTGTGTAGGAAACTATATATCAATGAAGTAACTATTCGAGTAAAAGTATTAAAAAGTTTTTTGAGTGAATCGGATTTACAGTAATACATGCATGGAGACTAATAACTACGGATCCATTTTTTTTCCTTTTTCTTTTTTTAAGAATATCAAGAAACCATTGAGTCATTACTCCTACCATAGACAGATTGAGAACTTCTAAATTGGCATAGAATCAACAAGACATATTTGCTTCTTTCGGCCGTATAAAAAGGGCAGTCGTCCATCTTTTAGTTAATTGGACTTCATCTTTGTACAATTCATCCAATGTCCCTCGTAAAGAATTCAGCCGCGACCATGCTGCATCAAGGCAATATTCCAAAAACCAAGAGGCGATCGAACCTACTTGTAACCAGACAGCAGGGAAAAAAGGCAGAGAAGCCTTCTTTCCGTATGAATCATAATCCTCAACTTGATTTGTTTTTTAAGACATACATCTCACTGTTTCTGGATAATTTACCAGAAATATCCAATAGGGAACAAAATGATATGGATCTACAGTATCTAGCATCGTATTGTTTTAACACTAGTTAAAGAGACTCCTATGGATTTTTGAACTCCCAAGTGACCCATTAGAAGATGATGCTTAACCCAAAAAAAAAAAAGAAAAGGTAGTAAACGTAGCATCTCCAGTATCTGTAAATGGGCTTCCAACAAAATCAACTCAATCCCGTAGATAAATGAATGCAGTTCCAGGGCTTGATTAAGAAAGAAACCCATAAGCACATATAACAGATGCAAGCTCATAATGTAGCTCTCCATTAGCATGCTGTTCCCCAAGCAGGCAAACTACGACTACAAAATCTGCCAATCTGCTGTCAAAAGACTCATGAAAGGGCAAAATACAGCATCTGTTACGTTTGATCTTCAAACTCCGGGAGTGCATTCTGATACTGTTACTTACAACTCTGACTTTGATTCCCAATCTTCTGATGAATCATGAATGGTTGAACTTTGTGATTCAAGAGGTAGTGCTACTTGCTCTTTGAGATCAGTAGGTTCCCCCGAAATTTTTGCTGTAAATTGTCTTGCTTCTAAGTCAAGATCTGGCCACTCTGCAACAATTCTTTTTGCACCCTGTAGTTCAGTTAGACACCAGAACAGATTAAAAGAGGAGGAGAAAAAGCGAAAAAAAGGGCTTATTATGAGGCAATTCTCAATAAAATAAGAATCACCTGAAGCTTAGGTTCCTTGGTCATAGGATTGTTGCAGAGATCTATTGTTTTTGCCTTTGATTTAGTTGCGTTGCCACACCATGACTCACACCACAGCCATTCTTGTGGGAGCGAAAAGATGGGTACTAAATGCTGGGCATAGTTTGGAAGGTCCTAAGAGAGGAATGGCATTCTTAGTACCAAAAGAAATGGACAAGAACAATAAATATTGCTATAAACTTCAGAAATACTTGAGAAAATCTTGTTACACAAACTTCACCTAACATCAAGAGAGACACTTGTAGCTCTTTTAAGAGCATAAATATTAGGCGCCGCTTGGTACGAGGGTTCAGGAATCAAGAATTGGAATCACCACCACATTTGTTGCTTGTTAAAGAGGTATGGGCATTGAAAAATTGGAATGAAATCTAAAAATCTGGTGACTCTTATGTTGGGAGGTTTTGGTTGATTACCAAATTTGACTCCTAAATGAAACATAAAAAATCCAAAAATAAATAGGAATCTTCTCTCCTCGAAATCTCGTCTGTTCCTGTACTTCTACCTTGACCACGTTGCATCTTCACCCGACATTCTCCTCTCTCTCCCTCACCATCCCTGTGTAAAAATTCACCTTCTTACTCCACCTTCTTGTTCGTCACCGACGTCGACCTCTTTCCTCACTCATATTCTCCTCCCAAAACCAAATTCTGCTACTTTTTATGGTTTAATAAACCTACAGCGTAGTTCTTTAAAAACCTGACTATCAGCAAAATTTCCACCTAGAAACAGCAGTCGGCAATCATAAGGTATGTGGGTGGTTTTGGCTGCAAAAGATACCCAGAACCAAAGAAGATGATGAAGTTTGTAGTTTGAATTTAGATCTATCTTAGATTGGAAAAGCTTGGAAATCTTGAGGCTAAATACAATAATTGTAGGAGCTCCAAAGTAGCAGTTAATTGTGATTCTGTTTGAGTTTGCCAGCAGTGGTGGTTCAAGGAAGAGCTGCTGCCAATTGGCCGCCAAAGCTGGCGGTATGTCCAGCAACGAAGAGGGAAAAGGAAAATAATATTTTTTCCTGATACCTAAACCTAAAAAGTTTTTACCAAGCAATATACATTGGAATGATCACACAGGGCCATACCCATACTAATTATTTATATATAATACCAATTCCAATTACAATCCCGGTTCACGAACCAATTGGACCCTTCATAACAGTTTCAATAACTGTCCACAGTCAGACATTCAAAGACTGTCTTAACTCACTCCAGGTAATGTTCAATTCCAGATATACGCCCATGTCATGGCGTACACCTCATACACAGACATAATTCAAACTATATCCAGTACCTTCCCTTACCATAGCACCTTTCTGCTCCTCAAATAAAACATCAGACACACACAGGCACAAATACTCAAAAATGCCATGAATACAGACACAAAAGTCAACCAAAAAAGACCCCCTGTTTTTGCTGGAAATTCCTTTCAAGTAGATAACAAGATCCAAACCATATTTAACAGTTTCAACCAAGACAAAAAAATCAAATTTCAGAAACTAAAGTTGAAAGCAGATGTTAAAAATGTTAATATATTCGGATAGCAGAGTATACATGTTGAAGTTCAAATTCAGCATTGATAATTGCAAACATCTGCAACTCCAAACCCCTCTGGAATTTTTGGGAAATCAAAATGTTGGGAGTTAATCTCTTATATGCTTGTGTTTGAGCATGTGCCCTTTGGGATTTGAATGTGGAACACCCCCCCTAGCATGACGTGGCTACTAAATGAAGTTCTGTTCAGAGGGATATTTGGGGTGTTTCTTATCCTCTCCCTTTGAGTTTGGAAGGTGGGATAAGAGTTGGGGAAATAGTTAAGTGGCACAATGTGTGAAAGGGGAGCAGGTTCCATGGAATTGTTTAACATTGCTAAAGGTACATCATCAGGACCCCAACTGCATACAGCTAGACAAACCTAGGGTTCCAAAAGTATTCACCACGTCTGTGTACTTAAGAATAGTACACACAGAGATCTACACTCAATAAACAAGTTATGCTCAAATATATTTTTTACAAGATTCACAATTTCTCAGCATTGTTAACAACCTGTAGATTTACATGAATTTCTATTTTTAAGGTGATATTTTAAGCAAGAAAACAACACACAACCAGAATAATGAGCTATTTAGGGTAAAGATAAACCTAAGTGAGAAAAAAATATTAATAAATCAAAATACTGACTAACCTGGTCCAAATTAGAAAGACTGTTTGGATCTTTGCTGAGAGTTTCATAGAACACTCTTAACTGATCCCCAGCTGCAGTTTCTCGAAACTTGACGAGATCAACAACGTACAAAGCACTACAATGGAGTACATGCATGACAGATCTAGCTACATCAAGAATTTCTAACACTAATACTGGATAAGTTCAAAGTTCTATACCTACCTAATATGATATGGTCTTCCTCGCAGATGTTCCTTCCAAAAACCCTGTCAAAGAAGTTGGAATATTCAGGCAGCAAAAGTGATGATACCATCAGGTGTTCGACCAATATCTACTAATGTGCTCTTTGAAACACACAGAGAGAGAATGGGGGATGCAGGAGGAAGGACTTTTGAATACAGAAAGTAGGTTGTGTGCACCTGTTTCCAGAAACGATAACCATCCATCTCTTTGTTGTTATCACAGAAAGGGGTGTATGCGAGGGGTCGTCCTTTTAAATTCATGTCATAAAGTTCTCCCATATCAGCCCTGACAATCTGATCTGCATCAACAAATATAACCTGCAGGTTTGAACAATCAAGGATTTCAGTGTTAGCCCCTTCAAATAATGCATGCAAACACATGTCAAATAAAGGAGGGGTGGGGATGGGGGGCAGTAGATGCTAACTCATTCAAGAAGCATATCCCAGTAATGCATAAGCAAGAAAACTAAACCACCTTCTCCAGAGCAAGAGGGAAAATGACATCAAGAAACAAGATTTTGTATGCCCATATAATTCGCTGCTTCTCTTTCTGTTTGTGTAACCATGTAGGCCATTTGTAGGTAACTAACTCGTACTGAAAACCATATTCTTGTGCCATATGTGGAATTACATCCTGCACAACAAACGACAAGTATATCCTCAGACATTTCAGACAACTGAAAAATACCAATCTGCTCCAAAAAATAACAATTTTCAAAGATCAGGAGGAATAAAATGAGAAACCACAAAACCTTGAATTGAGGAGAAAGGTAGTTCTTTATAAACCAGAACTTCACAGGTCTGCGCGTGTTCTTCAGGACACTCAGCATCATTATTTTCAAGAAGCGTTCATAACTGTGGAAACAGAATCAAATCAGGCAACCAGAAGGCGGAATAATAAGTAAATTTAAGTCCAAGAAGAAAGACCAGACAAATATTCCAAAACAAATGAGCATTATTTTCAGGAAGCGTTCATAACTGTGGAAACAGAATCTAATCAGGCAACCAGAAGGCGGAATAATAAGCAAATTTAAGTCCAAGAAGAAAGACCAGACAAATATTCCAAAACAAATGAGAATAGGTCCTTTCATGTAACACTAGCTAGATATTTTTGGACATATACCTAATTTTATGAGTACATTGTTACATATAAATACTATCTCAGGATGCTCCACGGCACAAACAACGCTTCAGAGTCACTGGACATCATTGTAATGCAGAGTGGATAAAGGAGAAAGGAAGATGCAGAAGATGATACTCACAGGTGCCCAGAAGCAACAGAAAATATATTTATCGTTTTCCCACGTCGACCAGTATTCCCATGCTCCTAAACAAAGGTGTGTAAGCTTATCAATCATTGGCAAATACTGTTTTTAGGTTCCTTGGAGCACCAAGCTTAGTAGAAAGCAAAGGAAACATATGTACTATTAAGCCAACTTCATACATGATGCTAACACCTTGGGCCAAAACTTTACATTTTTGAGATAAATACAAAATATAATTACCGCTGAAGTGCTTTCAATCTTCTTAGAACGGTCACTGCCACCAATAAATCCTGAAGCCCATTTAAGTAAATTAGAGTTCCAACTCTTCTGATCTCCCTGAACCATTAACAGACAAATGGTATTAACAGCTTACAAGCCATCCAATAAATGCCATGTACCTCAAACTTTATGACAAGTCAAAATAAATAGTAGATACTGTTGACAGAATAAATTGCCCACATTTCTGTTTTGTCTTGAATGACTTTCGTCACTATCAGAAGCAAGTAATAATTTCTCATTTTCCTTGCCCTTTTTCTTCAACACTTCCAAGTGAACTAGTTTGCCTCGCAAATCATTTATTGTGATCTGCTTTGACAAAGTTGTGTACGGACTTCCATCACCATCCTCTTTCATGACATACAGCTCGGAGCTTCTACCCAGTGCAAGCTGCAGGTACCAAACCCCAGGAAAGACTTTCATTTGCCAATACCCCAAATTGGCCATGACTAGAGTATCAACCAAGTGTGGTGTACTCTTGGTACCGAGGATCAGCTGAAGGCCTCGGGGAGGTTCATGATCCTTCTCTTAAGCGACCTATTTTGGGGAAAATAAACCAATATGGAAATTAATACCAATCATCCATGTTCTTTTAGGCATCAAAAGAACCAATTATACAAAAAAAAAAAGCAAATAAACAGAAGTATTATCAACAAAAAGCACATTCATTATGGTTCTGAAATAACATACCACTGGATTAAGTACCAGCCTCATGCTTGGCTGAATGTACTTCGACAAAAAGCGAAGAAGAGACGATAATTTTTGACCAGAAGAACTCAAAGGATCAATAACAGCATCAATGTGAATGCTTGAATCTTCATTGTCAAGTACAACAGCACTGGGCATTACCAAAAAGGGATCAAATGAATTTAGTACACAAGCTTTTTCAAATGAAAGGGCATTAATCATGTTCCAGGAATTCAGGAGTGCAACCAAAGAAGATGTCCATGTTCGAAAAATTCAATAAGAATCTTCAAGATGTGTTTCAGCATGTAATTATTAAAAATCACCAAAAAAAAAAAGAGTGAAATCAACTAGGTAGTCTGCAGCAACAAGCTTATTTAAAAAAAAGGACTCATGAAAGATTGTGCACAAGCACACCTGTATTGAAGACTGCACCTTTTTGGCACAACACAGAGAAATACGACAAAGAAAGTACAAGTCAGAAAAGACAAAGAAATAAGATCTTGTGATTTGTTCAGATGAATGTGCCAACGTTAAAATCACAGCAATTCACAAAGATCAGAGCAGTTATAAAAAATCCTAAAGTCTCTTCATGCACTAGGTCTTCATCCATAGCCTTTGCTAATTCATGGCAAACAAAAACGTTGAAGAAAAAATTTATGCAGAAAGAATCCTGAAGTAAAAGATAAAACTTGCAAGAGAAACCTCATTCTCTGGCACAGGTGATAATAAAAGAATAAGTAATTAAACTCTGAGCAGTCATTGTGAAGGACTTCATGTAACTTAACCAAAATTATTTTCTGATAACTTTTAGCACCATGAATGTGGAAAAGCATAAATGGTGAATGCTTGAGAATATTACACAGTATGTTTAAGCACACAAACTTGGGCAAAACAGATTTTTCAGGAAACATATGTCCCTAATGGAAGGGCCTATAACATTTTTCAGAATGAGCATTTTCCCTGATACTTCTTCCCTCTGCAGAAACATTCAAGGAAGCAGGTAATTTTCAAACCCGGTTAGCAGCTGAACATTGATATGTGCAAATCATGTAGTTACAAAGATTAATAAACTATGGAAAACTTGGTAATGAAGTTAATTAGCCTCAACCATGATTCCAAGAAAGAAAAATATTTTCACAAGGACAATTGACCATGTTCAGGCAATATTCAAGATTGAGCTAACCTGCAGGTGGAGCTCAAAATTTCAAAGCGAGCACTTTCAGAACTCCGTTCTCTCATAGCCATTGAAGACGAGATGGACAAGATGATGTCACTGATGAATTTGCTACAAGGACAAAGCATCATCCAGACATTTAAACCAAAGTTTTTTAAGTATTGCAAAACATAAACTGCTGAAAAAGGAAAAGTATGACATCTATTACGAGCAACATCACAGGATCTATAACAATAAGCTATATTGATAACCCTAGTTCTTTTTCAAAGACTTCTAAGTGGGAGGTGAATAAGGTTTTTCATATACAGGATAATGTAGAAAAAAAGAGGTCAGAGATGCAGATGATAAATCAGAGGTAACCATTGTGACGTTGACAGAATCTGCTAGCTTCCACATTACTTTTCATTATCACTAAGCAAAATTCTATTGGATACTACAATGATGAATATTAAAGAAACAAATTCTCTTTTGGGACTATTAATATCATTTAAAACAAACCAACAACAGGAACATACCTTGTCAACAAGTCAGGATCCATGTCCTCCCATTTTAATTCTTCAATGATGTCAGCAATCTGCTTTATGCGTTGTTTAAACTCTATTGACTCTAAAAGAGACAAATCATGGCTCAAGAAAACACCACCACCAACAGGAACCACCTAGAACCACAAAATGAGATTGTAGAAAAATGACTGGTATATATGTATGTGTTAGGAGAATATTAGTATTCTTGTAGATAATATATTAGTAAGGGTATTCTTGTAAACAGTCCGTTAGGTTTGTACTCCTATAAATATTAGTTGGTCACTCATAATACGGTGACTAGATGTTTTCCTCCCAAGATACCTCTTTACATGGTATCAGAGCAAGAGTCCTAGGGTTTAGGTTAAACATCTAGCAAAAGTACTGTTCACGCGTACTGTTCACGCGTCTCGAGTTTTGACCCTTTCTTGGGTTTGAAGTGCTATTCGCTATGGCTGAAAGTTTATCAAAAAGTATTGTGACGTCCACTAATATTATGCCAATGGTGATGCCTCAAATCACAAATTGGAAGTTGAATGATACCAATTATCAACAGTGGTCAAAAGCTGTTAAGATTTATCTGACAGGCTTAGGAAAGCAACGTTATCTCACAGATGACTCTCCTACGGAGGATAGCAAGAAACTAATGTGGATTCAAGAGGATGCCCAAATTCTTGGAGCAATATGGAATTCTATGGAGCCACGAATTGCTTACATGTGTTCTCATTGTGAGACAACAAAAGAAGTTTGGGATTATGTCCGGTTATTATATTGCAGTAATCTCTCACGGATGTTTGATATTTCTTTGGAGTATTTTCAGTTGCAACAAGATAACAAGACAGTAACTGAATACTTTGCTGATCTTAAGCGAGTCTCAGAGGAATTAAATGTTGTAATGCCTCTCTCAAGTGATATCAAGGTTATGCAGAGGCAAAGAGAACAAATGCTTGTGCTCAAATTCCTGGCTGGTCTCAAGCCGGAATTTGAACCAATCAAATCTCAAATTTTAGCAGGTGAACAATTACCATCCTTTGCAGAGGCGTATGCTCGGGTCTTACGTTCTGCATCTAAGGACAATGCACAGGGTGATGGTGCTTTAATTAATGACAAATCTGCTTTAATTGCTAACAATAATCGGACAGAGCAACTTAATTTTGGACGTGGCTCTCGTGGAGGAAGAAGTAGAGGAGGTCGTGGGGGTCGTGGAGGTCGAGGCACCCGTGAGTGCAATCATTGTGGTTTAAAGAATCACACTCGTGATACTTGTTGGGATTTAAATGGAAAACCACATCGGTTTGTTAATACGGTTACCACTGATCAAACTGAATCAAGTTCTTTAGCACAAGGGTCTCAGAAGACTGTTACCATATCTGAGGAAGATTATATCAAATTTCTGCAGTACCAAACTGCAAATCACGCATCTCTTCCCTCTACTTCTGTAGCACAAAAAGGTAATGCTATGGCTTGTCTCTCCACATCATCTAATTTTGACTCATGGATCATTGATTCCGGAGCTACTGATCATATGTCAGGTACCTCTAGAAATTTTTCTAATTTTCAAGAGTCTACTTCCTTCCCTCATGTTACTTTAGCTGATGGATCTACAACTAAAGTTAAAGGACTAGGCACTGTAGAAATTAACTCATCTCTTCCGCTGCCTTCTGTTCTTTACGTTCCCAGTTTGCCTTTTAATCTAATGTCCGTTAGTAAGCTTACTAAATCTCTACAGTGTTCAGTTATTTTTTCTCCTGATTTTGTTGTCATTCAGGATTTGAAGACAAAGAGGACGATTGGTGGAGGACATGAGCATAATGGTCTTTACTTTCTCAACTCTAATGGTCCGATTGCGTGCCCTGCTACTGTTTCTCCTCTTGAAATTCACTGTCGTTTGGGTCATCCGTCTCTACAAAATTTGAAGAAGTTGGTCCCTACCTTGAGTCAGTTGTCTTCATTAGAATGTGAGTCTTGTCAATTAGGAAAGCATCATCGTGTTTCTTTTGTCCCTAGGGTCAATAAACGGGTTTCGGAACCCTTTTTGTTAGTTCATTCTGATGTTTGGGGTCCTAGTCGAGTAACTTCAAAGTTAGGTTTTAAATATTTTGTAATCTTTGTTGATGATTTTTCCAGAGTTACATGGCTTTATTTAATGAAAGATCGTTCAGAATTATATTCCATTTTTTGTGCATTTGTTACAGAAATAAAGACTCAATTTGGTGTGCCTGTATGTATACTTCGCAGTGATAATGCGAAAGAATATTTTTCCACTCCTTTTGATACCTTTATGACTAAGTCCGGTATTCTTCATCAGTCCTCTTGTCCTCACACTCCACAACAGAATGGAGTTGCTGAAAGAAAAATTGGACATTTAATCGAAGTTGCTCGGACACTTTTGTTGCACATGAATGTACCCAAACAATTTTGGAGTGATGCAGTTTTAACTGCATGTTATTTAATTAATCGCATGCCATCCGATATTCTTGGAGGCCAACTACCTCACTCCATTCTTTTTCCTCAGGACCCTATATTTAAATTACCTCCTCGTATTTTTGGTTGTGTGTTTTGTTCATCAGCTTGCTCCCGGGGTGGATAAATTAGATTCTCGTGCCATTAAGTGTATTTTCTTAGGATACGCACGAGCGCAAAAGGGGTATAGATGTTACAGTCCAGTTTTAAATCATTTTTTCACTTGTGCTGATGTTACTTTCTTTGAATCCACTCCTTATTTTATGAAGCAAGGTATGTCTTGTGAGTTAGACCAGTGTTATCCTAATCTTCAAGTTTATTCTCGTCGTTCCATGGTTGAGAAAGCTCCTGATATGCTACGCACTTCACCAATTAACTCTCAATCTTCAGATCCAGGTATGACGCCCTCTTGTGAGTCAGATCTTCCTATTGCTTTACGTAAAGGTAAGAGACATTGTACTTCTCATCCTATTTCTAATTTTGTCTCTTATTCTCGTCTCTCTCTGTCATATTCTTCTTTTGTTGCATCTCTTGATTCGGTATCCATTCCTAAGTCTATTACCCATGCTCTCAATGATCCTGGTTGGAGGTTAGCTATGCAGGAAGAGATGCTTGCTTTGGAGAAAAATGGTACTTGGGATCTTGTCCCTCGTCCTTCAGGTAAGCCTGTTGTTGGTTGTAAATGGGTGTACACTATAAAGGTGCAGCCTAATGGTTCTATTGATAGATTGAAGGCTCGTCTGGTAGCTCGAGGATTTACTCAGGTGTATGGAGTAGACTACTTAGAAACATTTTCTCCTGTTGCAAAGATTACCTCGGTTCGCCTTCTTATCTCTTTGGCAGCAACTTACAATTGGCCATTGCATCAGTTGGATGTGAAAAATGCATTTCTGCATGGAGATTTGGAAGAAGAGGTATATATGGAACAACCTCCTGGATTTGTTGTTCAGGGGGAGAATTCGCAGTTGGTTTGTTGTTTGAAAAAATCCTTATATGGATTGAAACAGTCTCCAAGGGCTTGGTTTGGCCGGTTTAGTAGTGTGGTCATGGAGTTCGGTCTGACGAGATGTGGAGTAGACCACTCTGTATTTTATGGGCATTCTAATGCTGGTAAAATTTTATTAGTTGTTTATGTGGATGATATTGTGATTACAGGTGATGATGTTGTGGGGATCCAGAAACTTAAATCCAATCTGCAGGCAAACTTTCAGACAAAGGATTTAGGTCATTTACAGTATTTTCTGGGTATTGAGGTAGCTCGGTCTAAATATGGGATTTATTTATGTCAAAGGAAATATGTACTCGATATGTTGAGTGAAGTTGGGATATTAGGTTGCCGACCTGTGGATACTCCTATGGATCCCAATGTGAAATTAGCAAGAGATCAAGGAGCATTACTTGATGATCCTAAGCAATATCGAAAACTTGTGGGTAAGTTAAATTATCTCACTGTAACGAGACCTGACATTTCATTTGCAGTGAGTGTTGTGAGTCAATTTCTTGATACTCCTCGTACTAGTCATTGGGATGCTGTTATACGAATTCTCAGGTATCTTAAGGGTGCTCCTGGAAAAGGGTTGCTATATCAAAATCATGGACACACTGATATTGAAGGATATAGTGATGCAGATTGGGCCGGTTCTGCCTCAGATCGAAGATCGACCACAGGATATTGTGTGTTTGTTGGTGGTAATTTAGTGTCGTGGAAGAGTAAGAAGCAAACAGTTGTCTCCAGATCAAGTGCAGAATCTGAATACCGTGCTATGGCTCACACTGTGTGTGAGTTGGTTTGGTTGAAAAGCATGTTAGTTGAAATTGGGTTTGAGTATAAACAGCCTATGAATTTAGTGTGTGATAATCAGGCGGCTGTCCATATTGCGTCTAATCCAGTGTTTCATGAAAGGACAAAACATATTGAAGTTGATTGTCATTTCATTCGAGAGAAATTACTTGATGGAATCATCAAGACATCTCATGTACCGTCTGCAGATCAATTGGCTGATTTGTTTACCAAGAGTTTAGGGGGCTCTAGGGTGAAATACCTTTGTAACAAGTTGGGTGCTTATGATATATATGCTCCAACTTGAGGGGGAGTGTTAGGAGAATATTAGTATTCTTGTAGATAATATATTAGTAAGGGTATTCTTGTAAACAGTCCGTTAGGTTTGTACTCCTATAAATATTAGTTGGTCACTCATAATACGGTGACTAGATGTTTTCCTCCCAAGATACCTCTTTACAGTATGAAACTACTGATCAATTGGAAAAAAAAAAAGAACAAATTACTGATCGAACACAAACTAACACAGCAAAAACTGCAGTTTATGAATATCAATATCCCAAAAAAGTTCTTTTGTAATGTGATTTAGGGTAAGATTAGATAGACGGATTGCAAAACTTCAGATCCATGGCATCAAATCCAATTATACACGTTTGTATGATTGAGAACATAATGTATCACATCCTAGGTCAATTCGATCAAGTTTAAATGCATGAAACTCCATGGAATATTGAAATCATTGTCTCATTTTTATTCTAAGATAACTTTCAATAATGTACTTAAAACCTTCAAAAATACTCTCTGTGCAAGTTACATAATGTATCACATCCTAGGTCAATTTGATCAAGTTTAAATGCATGAAACTCCATGGAATATTGAAATCATTGTCTCATTTTTATTCTAAGATAACTTTCAATAATGGACTTAAAACCTTCAAAAATACTCTCTGTGCAAGTTACATAAGACAAGCTAAGAATGGACCAAAAATAAGGAGACTTAGATGTCAATACTACTGCATTTCAAATCACTCCCAAAATTCAATCTACCAATCAAAATCCAAAAATTCTCCAAACCAGATTCTAACTTCAATGAAGCATAAGGCACCTCAAAGCAAACTCACCCTCCCATTTGTGATAACTGCGTTGACACCAGAATGAAAACCAAGTTGCCTGTACAAAAACTGTGCTACCTGCACATTTGAAGGGTTAATGTCAGCTAGTATTCGACCACGTTACAAGTATTCATGAGTAACTGAAAGTCTGATGAAACCTGTAAAGATGTTGGAATGGCTAAAACTTACAACTCCGAATTGTCAATGTTTATTCAAATACCACAATGACCCTCCCAAAAAAACAAAAATTGCTTTATAAACCTATTTCTTGTTGACTGATGTTCTATGTGGTATCAAAATGAGAGAGTATAGTTAAAAGTGAGCCTCGAAATTAAATACTTGACCTAAAAGGCTAAAACCTTTTAAATGCCATGATAAAGTAAAAACATGAGAGACTATGCCCTTTTAATCTTTGCCGAGAGTACTAAAGCAAAAAAAGAAATGAAGGCTACATTGAACGGTAAAAGAATAAGAATGTTATATCTTATTCATCTGTGTAGAAGTCAAAATTCAAAAGGAGAAAAAAACATGATGCAAACCTTAATCAAGTGATTTTTCAGTTTACCAACTGAAAAAGTGGAAAGAGGGGATTCATAGCCCTTGGATGGCAATCCACTTGCAACAGCTAAGTCAACAACTTTATCAATAAACTCTTGGCTTTTTTCATTATCTGGAGAAGTTGATGTCATGTACTCCCGTTCATACAACGAGCATACTTGATCCAAAAATTCTAAAACGCCTTTCTTATGACTGCATAGGCCCATCAAGCATTATTGGGGAATTAGGAGATGTCAAATTAAAAAGGTAAACAAAACATAAGCACTCAATATACACATGAAATAGGACCAATTCAAGAATCAACTAGTTGAAACTGTAAAAAGTAGGAAATTTTCGACAAACCTATGAGAAGATGCAGCTATTTCAAAGACTTTCACGAATATGTAACTCAGTGAATTAGCTTCCTCATTAGAATTAAACAACACACCTAAACGTGCAATTTTTGAACCTCCCATCTGCAAACAGAACAAAGGTCCTAAATTCCCACAGATAACTGCAAGGTATAAATGATAAAGGATGCAATTACCAGATAACTTAGTCCTTCGCGAAGCATTTTAATCCCTTTTTTTGAAGTAAAATTGACAGCGAGAAGATGAGACACGGGCTTTATATCATCCACAGCTAGTAAAATAGATGAAGAAGAGATTATATTCGAAAGATACATTTAAAAACCCAATAACTACTACAACTGCATTTAACTTTGAAAATGGATAGTTCAAGCTAGGCTACAACTTACTATCAGAAGAATGCAGGTAGCTAATCTCATTTATCCAAGACCCATTTCTGAGAATCGACGCAGATAAGGAGACAAACTTTGGTTTAACTTTTCCACCAGCTATAATCTACAGCGTTAGAACAGAACAGAGACGACTTATATATGCAAGTTAACAGGTCCCATAAGCATTCACAGCAGATGAAGTCTATAGATTGGAGTCAAATTTTCAGTACCTGAGGATTATAGCGCTGGATGCCACTTTCTGCAAGAAACTTGTCCAGAATATCTGTATTTGAATTTATGAGGCCATAATAAACTTGTTCCTGTATCCTAGGAAGCTCATCATTCATGGCATTAAAAGGCGCCTCCTGGATAATCAGAATGATATCACCATATTAGTGTTTCAATCTATTCCAACTTTATAGATTAAATTTCACCACATTGCAATTCAGACACTGAGGTTTCAGAGTGATGTAACAATCCATGCAAGCAAAAGAAGTTGGATCACTTACGAACATGTGATGTAACAATCCATTCAGACACAGGGTATTAGAACACATATAAAAAATTTAGCTCAAACTACTAAAAGAAGTTGGATCACTTACGAAAAAGAGGAATTATGGCACAAACAGACACATGACGAATTTGACCTGAATTTATCTAGCAATCCGTAGGGAAGAGGGAAAATCGTCCAAAAAGCACTTTGAACCCAAAAAAAAAAAGGATAGGCATTATGAGGTAAGCACCACAAAAAATTTCAGCTGTACAACAGTAGATAGTGAATCATATCAATAGCTGCAAGTAAATGCAAATAGTTTTCAAGCAAATCCTAAGAATTACATATAGTGCAAAAAAATTTTTAAAACAGAATTGGTAGCTGTACCTCATTAGAGTCATAGACAAGCCCATTCATCAAGAGGCAGCATTGCAGCTTGGCCAAACCAAGCTTAAAAACAAACATGGAGCTTTCTTGAGATAGCTCATGATATGTTTTCTCCTTTTCGAGTTTCAACAAAATATCTTGAGGTGGAGTTTTTGCGGAAGGTCTGAAGATATAATGTCAAGAAAATAACCATATTAATGCTGTACAAGTAGCAAGAGAAACTGCACAAATGTCTACTTTGATGTGGATACACAAAAAAATATGAATAACTATCGGTATCTTACATAAGATGTATAATATGTAGTTATTTTGGAAACTTACAATAGGGTTTCCACAAAAGCTCCTTCCACATGATGAATTTCAGGAGCCTCTTCAGGGGCAGATTCAACGCGCAGCTTATTTACCTGCATTTTCCATGGAAGGCAATCTACTTAGTTATGTTACATGAACTAAGAGACTGGTGCCCCTTGAAGCACTCAGAGCTGAAGAATCATATGCACAAGAGTGATCTACAAATCCATGCATTTTGTTGCTGTAGTCCCAAGTCCCCCCCCCCCCCCAAAACCCCCCCAACAAAAAAAAAAAGAAAAAAGAAAAATGTGCACTGCCAGATGAAAAGAACAGAGGTTCCCAATCGTGTGTTACTAATCCTCTGGCAAACTCATCATTCTATAACAAATGACAGATTGATTTGCCATATTCAATTTCCAAGAATAAGATATTGAAAGAAGGAACCAGATTAATACAGTAAAAATGATGCAATATTGAAATGTAGACCTTAATACATGAACCACACCTAAACTAGACATGTTTCAGAAGGCCAGCATCATCAAACAATGCTTAGCCTAACCACACTCCTGGTCCTGGGATATAAGACAGTTAATTATTTACACATGCAATAGCCCACATGCTAATTCCTATGTTTTATCTGGATTAGTATAAAAGACGCAGATTGCAGGCAACACAGTTAACAGACATTTCTTAAGCAAATCCACATGGATTATTCAGTACAAAGTTTTTGATCAATTTAAACATGACAATCTTTTTTTTTTTTTAATTTCTGTCGGCGATAAAACAGGTAGCTCAGTGGCACACACATTAATTGATGATTAGCAACAGACATATTGCATATTCTTTTTTTTGGCTGAAATATGAAGAAAGAAATTACGTGACAAGAATACTGCAGACCAACAATAATAGTAAAGAAACTAAGGACATACATTGCTCAAAAACTGGAAAGCCATTAGATTCCCATGGTTTTCCTTTATATGGAGGAAAAGACGAATGACCTGCAAATAGGATTACCAACAGTATCAGTTACTACTATACATTCAATTTGTCATTACTAACGTGAAACAAACAGAAAAAAATATTCAAACTGTTCAACATAAGACATTTCATTCACTCATAAAATTTAAGCTCTTTCCTGACAGAATATCGTCCACAACATAAGTACAAATTAGTCTTCATTTGCTTATCTGAATTTACAACATGAATCTTGATCTACTTACAGATACACTTTCCACCAACAACTAGAGATTTTATATCCATTCAAGATACTATTGTAGGTCAATCATGTCTTGAATAATCCTATCAGCTCCTCACTTTCGTTTCTGTGTGAGCAGTTTTTGGGTGCGGTGCTTACAGAGATAAACTACCTGCTCAATCTATGAACTCTTGCGTCATATTTAGAAAAACAACACAACAGCTTGGAGTTCATTTCCATTAGCTTGGAGGGTAGTTTATTGGTATCACTGTACTGAGAAAAGAATCGATTAGGCAGCCTCTTTCCTTATAACAGGTGAAGGGCTCATGCCACCAAAGTATCTGGAACCAAAGACCTTGACTCCAAGCCTTTAATTTGACATTTCCCAAATTTGCAATGAGCCAGCTTAGGAAGTTATTGAGTTAAATATTATATGTTTTGAATATGTGTTTTTCATCTATAAAACTTCAAAGGACTTTGGTAATTTAACTAGTGGGTTGGCCATTGATTCACTGGATGATTGCATGATCACACCAGGTTAGGCGTGCATTTGTACTCCAAACTAGAGTCCAGAAAGGTGTAAAGGTCAAATTCTTGGAACCAAACCCAAGTTTACTTGGTCAAGGTAACAACTTGGTCTCCAAAACTACTCTGTTTGCAATTCAGGCCCAAGATTTACCAGAAGGAACAATACCAATGAGTTTCAAAGAATTGCAGGCAAAGTAATTGTGAACTCTGTTACAGAAATTACCACCCCAGTAATCCTTGGTATCAAGTGCTGAAGGTAGAGGCTCTTATGACCAAAGTCTAAAAGACAAAACTAAATCATATCACTGAATGAGAACTAGATAAAACAAATTAATGCTCATTTTTGTAATTCCTAGAAGAAGCACTTCAATTGAATCATAACAGATAAGTTTTTCCAGGATTACCAAGGAAGAACAGGCCATGATTAAATTTTTTCTTTTAATTTTTTCCAATAAGAGGATAAATAGCAATTACTGTTCTGACTATAGATGAGGGTTCTAACAATTAGAATAAGATGGATGCCATTACCAAACTGGAAACGTCTTCTTCAGATTTAAGGTCATCCTCCAGACTACGTTGGAGCTCATCACCATTAGCTTCAATCTTCTGGATTATGTTCGCAGAGTACAATATCACACCAAATCTCATAGGCAGGTTATTCTCAAATAAAGAAATAACCATCTCGATGGTCTGCATGATTTTGAAGGTTACATGAGCAATTAAAACATTAAAAAGTAGAACATCTAACAGACTAGTAACTTGCCTCAAGCCCACAAATGGAAGCTGGATCCAAAACATAAACTGCATGATATATGTTTTTACGAATATATCGTAATTGTCCAGGGAAAACTGGCATAAGAATCTACATCAAAAAGAGAGAAAAGTTTGTTTATGGACAATATACAATCTAAGCAGTCTAAAGCTACAAGAAAACACAATACAATTCAACTTAAAAATTCACCTCATTTATACTGCTGCTCCAACGCTTATATATGATGTCATGCTCCAAATCATTGAGATAGTGAACATGTGTAGAACGAAAATCTACTCGAATCATGTTGGATTCCGAAGGCGGTAGAATTGAAAGAAGTTTCCTCACATTGGTTGAAGGAATCTGGGGGTATTGATAAGCTATTAGTAATGTACCTCAAAAATGATCCAAAAAGTATACACAAAATCTTAGTACAGCTCTATCTTTCAGCTGCTTCTATTGAGAACCAAAAAACGAAAATTAATAAGTGTGTAGGCAAGCTGGTGGGAAAGAGGAAAAGGAAATCTGACTCTAGCCAAGATAACATTGATTGTACTTGCAGAAACAAACAAATACATAGAAAACATTGGCCAAAATTCCACAAACATAATAAATCCATAACCATACACATCACAAGTCTACATTCTTGGTACTATGAAATGGCACCTAAAGCAGAGAAATTTTTTCAATCGACATGCTTAAGTAGCATATGAGTATAGTAGATAGTAAACAGAAACAGAAAATAAGCTAACAGAGACAATCTTTAGTTTAAATATTCTGGCATATCAGATTCAAGCTTCTCACATCCATTAATAAAAGGCACAGCATAAGGATGTAGTTTTCATACTGCCTGGTGTCAATAAGAATGTTGATAACGCCATTGACCTTTTCTCCAAATGTGCTTGAAGGATTAGTGGTCTAATACTCGCACAAATGAAATACCACTCCAAAATTTATTGAAAAATATTACAGTATAAATTTACACATCTGGGAGAAAGGATGCAAAATTCATGCAAATAGCATTGTCAAAAGTTAAATAATGACTGAAGGAAATTATACATAATTAATTTAAGGTTGAGTTCCTTTAATCTGTGAAGTAGAATAAAGATTACACAAAGCATCATAGTACAAGGAGTATGATATTATTCTATCAAATGACTGACTATGGCAGTCTTCCCAGCAAACAGGTACATTGTATTTTCGAAACTCTAGAGAGGCCAGCAACAAAAAATAAATACGCTTTCTAAGATTATCTTGTTTACAAGGCCAGGCGAAAAAAACATAAAAGAACACCCAGACACAATAGCTAAGACCACATAGCCTCTACTTTGCCCCTAAATCAAATTCTGTCACCAAATTTGAGAAAGACTTTGCTTTCTTACATTCATTTTTGAAAATTGATCAGCCAATGATAACTCCTGCTGGACCATGTCAACCAACCTGACAATAAAGGAATAAAAAAAAAAAGACACATACTTTCAGGAGTTAAATCCAAATGGAAGTGCTGATAGTAAAAGCGAATGATGTACCTAAAAAGATTTAACTTTGTCCAACCGGACTGGAAAAACAAATTCGAAAAATAAAGTCAAAACTCAATTAGGTCACTCTTCAGTTGGTCTTCAGAAGCAACTTCTCTTCCTAACCTTTCAAACTCAGAGTCGAAAGGCCATGGGTGTTCCATTGTTCACCATGATTCTGTAGTAAGAGGTCACCAAGTGTGTGTGTGTGTATTGTCTCAGTTACTTAGAAATGGGTTATAGTAGCAGAGTCAAACAACAGATGGACCAAAAGGTTAACCTCCAACACTTCTTAACATCCTGGTCTACTTTCCAGTGCTAGCAGTCCAGTAGAATTGCAGGCAAACTATGAACCCCCTTAAGCAACTCTCTAGAGCAGCACCAAACACTATTAGATAAAGGATTCTAATAGTTATAAGGTGAACGAAGAATTTTTGCAAATCGACATGAAGAAGATCCAAAAAAAAAAAAGTTTAAGTAAAGGATGAGGTTCAAACTCAAAGAAATCATTTGTTATTACAGGACACCAACATAGGTTCGTAGGCCTCACGCTTTGCTTATGTAAAACAGATGAGAGAACACCAGCCAATAAAGCATCAGTTAACACTTGGTCTCAGTTAATCTGACTGAAGCAGCTTGAAACTCAGCTTGAAAGGGTTTTCAGGCTTTTTATTTCTCATGAGGTATACTATTTTTCTTTTTTTCTTTCCTTTTGTGAGGCATACTGTTTACCCCTAAGCATTTGAATATTTTCTTAAGATGAAACCAGACTTGTATCAATTTTCAACAGAACAGCAAATTAACTGCAAAGGTATTCCAAAAGTTTGGAATCTTATAATGTAGGAAGCACTGAAAAGGTGCATATAGCATTATGAAAGAAGTCATTCAGACCTTGTTGAACAAAAAAAATATCTTATCATCAAGGAAGCCTTACTAAATTATTGTCTGCAGGCATAAAGTGTCATAACTGTGGCTAAAGGAAGATAGCACTTCACGCTAATGTTTAGCCAATAAGAAGAGAGAGAAATTAAAGAGCCTCAACTGTTTGTTTGCTTCTCTATGTTTGGACTTGGAACAGATAATCTGTTCCCAAGTTGTATAGTTCTTTAGCAAGGATTAATGCTCTTGTGGTGTTGCCCTATATAATAAATTCAGGTTCTACAGCTATAAATTTGATGCTCTTATAGTGTTCATATCTGACTCCATAATTTGTGCACATGTTTTGTAAGATGGAATTATTTCACTCATCAAAAGAAAGTATCAACACGAACCATTCTTCCTTCCCAAAATTAGATTAAGATACAACTCTTTATATAGGTTTTAAGACCCATGCACAATGTACTAGCTGGATAAAGATGTTCAGCTTTCCCAAATTCGTATGGCTTGTGCATTAAAGATTTTTTGTATTCTAGAAAAAGATTCATTCTCCAAACATAAAGGAGTTGCAAGGAAAACCGGAAATTAAGAAACTTTTTCTCTTTTCCAATGAAATTTCATATTGTGTTTCTTTAACCCAAATGCTGGTAAAAAACTTTAATGAAGTAAATTAGAATCTAAATAAAACAAAATCAGCACAAACTAAAACAAGATGCAGCTTTGGACAGGTATGGCAAATAATATGCCATCAAAAACATTCTTCTCTTTTGGGCGATTAAAGAGTGAAGTATTGGGATAAAGAAAGTCATATGCTCAGTTCAACATCTCCCCTTAAAGGGACCATTTGTGTTTGCTTGAGCCCAAATGCTAGTGAAAAAACTTTTAATGGAATAAATTAGAATCTAAATAAAACAAAATCAACAAAAAATAAACAATAATGAAGCTTTAGGCAGGTTCAGTAAATGGTACGCTGTCAAAAAGACTCTTAGGAGATTAAAAAGAGAGATTGGGGTGGAGAAATTCATATGCTCCAGTCAATATCTTCCCTTAAAGGACATCTAAATGGACACTTTAGTGCACAAAAAAAAATCTAATTCAAGCTGGTCCCAGACAAACCCATCACAAAGGCTCCCACTACAGTGGGATCTCAGTGGAAACAAGCCCTTGCAATCACAAGATGTAGCTGTGGTGCCTTTAACCTGTTCAAAGCAATCTTGAAGGAGCAACCCAGCCTACCAATTATATGTTCTTCTGAACTCAGGGATATAACACGGAGATATGCATAATTCATTGGTTATACAAATAAATTGTCCTTGAGATATTGGCAGTAATTGTTTCCTTATGAAAGAGAAAAACAAAATTCAGCTTATGGCAATCAATATCGTCCCTGTTAAATCATCGCAGACTTTTCACTCGATTTAGTTCCATGAGTCCTTGGTTTAAGAGTCATTATGCCACCTCTCCTGTAAGCCCTTGCCTAGACATAGTCTTAAGTCTCCTTCAGATAACAAATTTTAAAGGAAAATACGCCATGGACAGAATATAAGACTGGTAGAGAAAAAACAACTCAGCTGGGGATAAAAGCATTACAGATAAAGGTCAACATCTTCAATATTGATTAAGGCACCATTCAGAGCCAACAAAGACTTGCCAGGCGGGATCATTCTCTGATTTGCAATAATTTCATCTTTGATGGAATCATTGAGCTGAAAAGTATTGAATTACAAAAGGAATTTGTCAGCCTACATGTAATCTACATACAACTGAGAGCTAGTATTACATGAATAGCTTTCTATCACACAAAAAAACTGCTATGCAAGATACCAACCTTCATACGAGACAAAGAAGAGACAATGCTAGGAAAGTTCTGATTGATTTCTTGCATTGACTGCAAAGGATCAGATGCATGAACTATCCTTTGTGCAGTTTGATGACCAAGATCTGGATTATGTTGAAAAATAAAATGTACTTCAGCAACCAACATAGTTTGGAAGCAATCATAACTAAGAGAGAAATCAGGATGATTACCTTTCAATTCCCAAACATCCAATGTGTCAGATATTGTGGATGACAACAGATAATCTCTGAAAGCCATAACCTCAGATGTTAATTCTGGCTTGCGTTCCTACTCAAGGAGACATAAACAAAGAACATAAGGTCTAGATAGCTGGGAAGGATAGCCAGTCTTCTAATATCATTATCATTAAATCAAATTCTAGGCTTGTTACAGCTAAGGAGCATTTAGACAAATGCTTCCTATAAGTCTCACCAGACAATTCATGCACTAGAACTTCCAACTTACAGATCTATCAGCAGGAATTCAACCTTGCCTACATCAATAAAAATACAACCCTTATCTTTTTGCAATGTTACATCAGTCAATGGGTTGCCTGATTTGTCATCAGGTTTATTCTCAATAATATCACCGTTAACCTAAAAAAGAGCAACACAGAAAAAATATTTTGAAGTAGAAAAATAGTCAATTGCAGCAGAAGCACAAATCACATGACAACAAGGGATGCCCTACTAAAATGAGACCTTAACCTAGCCCACATAACAGAGGTAGTAAAAAGTTTTAACAGCCCGCTTATTAACAAACTTCGAATAGCTGATCAAATATTTCACCCTCCATCTCCCATTGCTGTCTCTGTTCCACCTCAATACTGACAATGTTTGATAAAGGAACTGGAGGGATGTTCATGGCAGATAAGACATGTAAACCTACTGGCAAAAGGCCTGTAAAATTGGTTTTCTTAAGTAAATCAAGAAAACCTACTGACAATTGGTTTTCTTAAGTAAATCAAGACATGGCAGATAAGACATGTAAACCTACTGGCAAAAGGCCTGTAAAATTTGTCCTGTGGTAATGGCAGACAAATATATTGTATCTAACTAATCATAAACTAGAACAGCTACTTAGACAACTTATGCCCCCAATTCACAAAGGCAAGACACAATAGAAAAGGATTATCTTCCCAAAACTTAATGATAAGAAGCAATAAGAGGTGCTTAACAATACTCGAGGGTCCTATAACAACACTCTCAATATAACTGGTTTGTATTATTATCAAATGCGAAATTAAATTCCAATTAACTGCCACCAGTCACACCAGCTTTACATTTCTTAATATTTATACACTAATTAAAAAAAAAAGAAGCAAAATACACTTCTGAGATCATCACAACTGCCTGTTTTTACAGGATCCAGTCCACAACATAAGAACCTTGCACGATTACACCAAGGTTTTTCCTTACTAGTTAAAGGAAAGAATTTGCTAAAGAACCTCCAAACTTGATGAATAGATAGATTCTAAAAGCTCTTCCATCATGAGAAATCAATTTTTGGCTTGCAGAATAGGACCAATCAGTTAACCAAAAAATTATAGAATCACACTTAGCTCCAACTTCAATAAGAAGATACCTGTTCTTTTCCTACAGCTGCTCAATAAGAAATATTTTTAGATTTAAAAATTAAAAGAGAATACTATTTCACTGGCAGTTACCAGGATAAAAGTGGCCATAAAGATATAATGGGTTATAGGCCCTCCCCAGTACCCAAAAAAAATAATAATGAAATGGCCACAGAGAAATTCAGAGTCCACCTTCACTCAATTAAGGTAATATTTGTGTGTGTTGCACACAAACTAACTAGTATGTAGAAAAGTTTACACAATAATTGGTTTTAGTTTAATTGCAAGCCATAAAAGTTGATGGCACTGAACCAACACCCTAAATGAAATTACGATGGAGATAACTAACCAAAATCCTCGAGAAGATAAATCCTCTGACATCTTGGCTGAGATCTTCTGTATGAGGGTCTTCAAGAGTGACACCTGCAATGAAAATTAAAAATTTGATAACTTACATTGCATATAAAGACATTTGTGCTGGAAATATAACAGAGAGAATAAAAAAGGGTACTTTTCATTTGGAACCCCTGAAGTTTGGTAGTGGCGAGTAGTGACAAAACTTTCAAGAATGGCAAAAAAACCCCACTCCTAGGTTCCATCCAAATTTCTGATAATTTGTGGCAAAAGGGCAGCACTATACTGTCAATTCAACCAACCAACAACTGGGAAATACAGTATTTATCTCCCAATCCCCTTTACACAATCTGTCCTGCCTCTCTCACTGCCCTTTCCTTCCTATGTCCACTACTGAAGGGCTTTGCATTGATTACTTGGAGTGTAATATCAGTGTTTGATGAATTATAGAGTCAAAAAAAAATGAGAAGCAAGGATGGATGGGCCAATACATAGCATAACTAGGAGGGCAGGAACTCAACTCCATTGACATATGCATCGAGATCCAAGGTTTTCAAGGGAACTGTGAGGACCTTCGATGTCAAGATCAATACCAAAGCTACAGCTCACGACAAGTAATAAGACACTTGTCTGATTAAATTACACCTTCTAAACAGCTGCTCACTGGTGGAGAAAGCTACAAAATAATTCCTGATTTGAACAGTTCCATGGTTTCGTAAAAAATAATTACCAACCATCATTCTGTTGCCAATTATGGAAATCTCTCTCTTCATTTAGTTAAATCAAGTGCATGGTTCAACAAAACTCTCACACAACTTGTGGGAGGTGTAGAAATCCATCTGATTTAACAGCAATAATTAACTACAGGTTCACCTGAACTCTAGGATGTTTCAGAAGATGTTGCATTCAAGAAGTATTCCACGACACTCTTTATGGAACCAGCTTTTCAAATGAACCTATCCATACATCATAGATACTGTAGGTCTCATCTAATTTAACAGCAAAAGCTAATTGCATATATATTCACCCAGGATCTACAATTTTGGCAAGATGTTGCATTCAAGAAGTGTTACCATCACAGGCTCAACTGACCACCCACCTTTTTACAAAAACACCATTCATGGATCCTAGATGTTGGAATGGATTTCTTGCACCAAAATGGGACAAGTAAAGATTTACGTCTTCCCATAACTTCCCTCGGACAGAATTTCTCAGGGATAGTGCTTCAATTTGCATGGTTAGTAGTTTCTTTTTCTTTTTTAATTTAAACTATTTATTTCTGCAGAGCTAAATGGTTGTACGGGCCGTGAGAACTAAAATCACCTTATAGCAGTTCAGTGAATCTGGGAACACAAAATCAATACTTCTCGGGGCATAAACTCTAGAGATTATAACTCGAATTACAGTACCTCATTAATGCAGAAGGCAACAAAAAGGATGAAAGAGAGATGAAAAACTATAGGAAATTGGTTAAATAGCAATTCATTCCTAGATAACATCAAATCCAGACACAGAATGCTACAGTGGAGTAACCTGAATAAAAAAACAGACCTTTCTTAACAGCACTATCATCCATAGCTTTGTACTCCATGTTCTTCAAAGCAAGTTCCACACCATAGCCACCCAAGTTCACAGCATCTCTGGTACCAATGGCTCCACAATGACCAACTTTGGATTCACAGCCAGAAGGTAATATGGGTCTAACAACATAGGTGATCTTACCCTGCATTCAATCATGGAATGAATCAGAAAGCAATGGATAGCATTAACAAATTAAGAAACTAATGCTTCTTTCACAGGTTCATCAGATAAAAAACCATCATCCTTGGATGTGTGCTGTTAGAAGTACATTCACTGCTCAGTTAAGAGGCAATCTGTACATATTTGAAGAACAGAAAGAAAAACAAACAAAAACTGTACATGTGCATTATACACATACATACATATACGTATGTATATATTTGTTGCAACACATTTCAGATTAGAAAGGTAATCATTTTCTTTAGACATGGTAAACCCTTTAATCCAAATGTCAGAGCTCACAAGCATTTGTCTTATTTATGCAAGTGAAAGTGATCAGACTTAAACTTTACTTGACAACAAACAATTGTATTGCTATTCTAATGGTAGCTTTTCTTAAACCAGTAACTTATTAACAAAAGGTGGTGCCAAAGAAACAGCAAAATCAACTAAAATAACATGCAACAAAAACATTACCTAACTACTTAAGCCCTACCTGTCTGGCTGTGCCAACTAAGACATTGTGAAATTCCTTAAAGCAGTCCGTCCCAAGAGCTCCATACAGAATGGCAATAGGACTTCCAATACTTGAATCTGGATGGACATGATCAAATTCAAAAAGCTCGGGCTGCTGAAATGTATCAGTGGTTCTGGCAGTAAAAACAATATTGTTAAACAGTGTACTAACAACCTTCAGTGAGATCATTGAAAACCTTGTAAAATTAAAGAAAGAAATACAACATGAATTACAGAGCAAGACTCACGCTTTATCAGGATTTTCAAGCCAAAGTAGCAACTCATTTGCGTCAAAAAGTAGTGCTGCCCCAGTGTCAACCCAACAACATTTTCCATTAGGAGCTCTTGAGTTCACTCCCAAGAGCAACGGTTCAACTTTTTTGCTTTTGGCATTATCATTTGTTTCAAAACCTCCCTCATTGCTAGAAGCTGAGCTATCATCAACCAGAGGAAACGATGAAAGAGAATCCTCTGCTAACTGCCGATACAGCACTAACCTCGGCGATGCTGATCGAAGGGTGAGAGAAAATTCAAAAACTGATGCCAAAGGTTTGCTTAACAAAGACTTCCCATAGTTTACAATTGTTCTCAAGCAATCTTTTGCAGTATGAGAACCAGAGTCTTCACTTCCTTTGAGAAGCCAAAATTCAGTAAAATCCCAATAAAAATCTTTCCATTGACTAGACAGTAACTCCCTGTCAAAAGAACAGCAACATCTCATGAGACATGGAGAGTGTTTTTCCCAAACATGATTAGTAAAGAAACCTGTGAAAGCTAAGTTTCTTGACCCTATCAAGGATTCAGCATGAAAATTAACAAACTCAACCAAAGCTACTTATTATTAAAAATCATAAAAATCATCATTAATGTCATTTAAAGCCGAATTCAAGAACTACAACTACAAAATAGCACAAATTCAAGAGAAAGTAGGACATCCTCAGATGGTCAAGCTAATTTCTCATTTTCTCCAAGGACTCCCAGTATTAAGCACCAAAAACCTCAAAAAGCAGCTAAAAAGCTCCTGATTTTACTTGTACAACCACCAACACCAAAGCATTAAATATTAAACTCTGATCGGCAGATTAAAAATTCATTCTCAGAAAATAGCAGTACGGGTAAGTTTGGAGTGTTTTTCACAATTTAACGACACAAAAACAATCAAATGCTGACGCATTGACACTCCAAGAAAGCATAAGGGAGTCAATTATCTCTTTCATCTTTACCCTCCAAACATTTAGAACCCCACTAATAGGAGCATTAGAGAGAGAAAGAGAGAGAGAGGACCAATCACAAAGTTGGATAGAAAAACCAGCTTTACTCCTTCACTAATTAACTTCAGGAATTTTGATCATAACATCAGAGAAGAACTATCCAATAAAGAATACATTAGTAAAAACAGATTAATTACGGTTAACATAAATTGGAGGGAAAAATCCATAAATGATAAGAGTATCCTTTCCAACAAAAAATAACCATCCAAGCGTTTAATTCGTAGAAACAGCATACCCAGCTTCTAGAAGAAGTGGAGTACCAGACCACTTAGCCCTGAGAGCCACCTGTACATTTTTTGGACTGCGAGTTTGAGCAGAAATCAAATTCCCAGAAAGGCCAACAAAGAGAAGAACAACGAAAAATAACCAAAATCCAGATCTCAAATGGGGCTCCATTTGCTAAATCTTTGATCAAAACTGTCCCTTTTCAAGATTAACTGGTTATGGCCATTGATGAAAACCCAATTAAAGATAAAATTTTTCTGGATTTTTTGATGGCTTCGAGAGGGTTATGAGAGTCCTGAAGTTTCGATTGTTTACAGGCACTGGCAGCGACTTTCGGACTTCACTGACTTCACTGATTCACTTCAGTGCAGTCAGCTGTGCAAGAGCATTTACCGGGTTTACTCCAATAATAGGGCGGTTCACCTGATTCGCATATTCGAGGATTGGATCCAATTACAACGAGACACCTATGAGCCTCTGTAGGTATTTCTGTCTTTTCAATAAAATGTAGGGGCAGATTGGTACATTAAGAGGCATGAGTTTTACTACCACGTCATAATTTGACATGGCAATTTGGTATTGGGTTATAAGAGGAACGAGTACCAAGCTCACCAAATCGATCCCCTGTTCTCGTAAGCTGGCATTCAGGCCTCAAACCAGCTTCCCCGCCGCCGCCGGAGGCTTCACTCCTCCAGCATTATCCACCGTGCTAAGTCTCTTTCTTTCTCCCCTCCCCTTCTCTCTATCTCTGGTGCGAACACACCAGCGCCGAGATGAATAATAGCAGCGAAGGAATTAATAAAGTAGTAGTAGCTTCAGCAGCAGAGGAGGAGCAGCAGTGCAGAATCATATATATACCAGACAAGCCTCCAGTTCCTCCTCACCTTCAACCCACTGGTAAAATTTTACCACAATGTAATAGATGCAAAGATAACTTCGGTTTAAATAGTTCCTTCTGTTTTTGTAAAGTTTTGACCTTTTTTCTTCTTAAAGTTTTAATGGTCCTTTACATTTTTTAACAGTGAATGTCCACGCTGCTGTTATTGAACCGAAACATGCCAATACTCTAGTGAGGTTTGTCTTTTAAATCTGCAGCTGATTCTTTCCTTGAATTGTTTGTTTGTGTTTTCTGGAGCTTCATTTTTTCCCCCTGGTTGATTTTTAGTACTATCTGAGGTATTTATAGCTCTATTTGTGACTTTTTTGTCCGAAATAGGAAGTTGAACCAAATTGCACCGCTGGAGAAACTTCGCCATGTGAAGCGTGTGCGCAAGAAATCTCAGGATGGAGGTAAATGTTCTGAAATTGTATACTGTGAATGTCTGTACAGTTTATTGCGCGACTTCCTTTATGCAGGATAACTAGTTCAATTATCATACTTGTATACGGTAAATTATTGATGAACTTTCTCAGATACGGTAAATTATTCAATATGGTCACACAAACATAGTGGGAGATGTTGACATAATCCCAGTTCTTTTGGGGCACTAGAAAAAATTTAGCATACTTCTTTGAGACACATGCTTTTGTATGCTTTAAGCAGCGTGAACCCCTTTAACTTATGAATAAAAGTTTTTGTTAATGTAGAACTGTGCATAAATGTGAGGAATTGACATAACTGAAAAACAGTTAGCCGTCTTAGTAAATCAAGTTGTTTGACCAAAACTATAGAAAATATGATTAAATGGTAAAATTTGCAGAAGTAAATGCCTTTAATTGTATTTATGCCTTACTTCCTTTCATCTTTCCAATCCCAAATAGGATTTCTATATCTTTATTCCAAAATATGTGTCTCAGACTTAAAGTTGTCCACATGGTTGTAAGAGTTGTAATTTTTACAGGCAAGAACGAGCTGTCTGTGATCTTGTGCTTGGCTTCTGAAAGTGATAGCGAGTTGGATGGAGCTCCAAATGATGTGCTCGAGCTCATTAAGCAATACCAGTTGAGTACTTTTGTTGCCAAAGTGGGTCATCCTTTTTCCTCCAAGCATTCCTGTTTTGAGTTAATTTTCATTACGAAACAGCTTTTCAACTTTCAAATCTCTTTTTTTTTCCTTTAGAAATAGTGTATGAAATGATTTATATTGGTTTGAAATGGGAAGGACTTTTAAGATACTGCCCAACCTTTGAGCCTAATATAAGAAGCCCAATGGGGCCATTAAGGAATGCCTGTGTGTTTGTGTAATTTGGCAGGATCTTGCAACTAAATTCTTTTAGTTCTTCTGTCTTAGTAACTCTTGATAATGTATTTTCATGTAAACTTTTCATTTGATTCTTAAATTGAACATTTTAAATTAGGATTTTAATCTTCAATCCTTTGGTTCTTCTTTGGGAGAGGAGGGAAAGAAAATGTTTCAATGGCTTCATAAATTAGCTAATTGTCCTGATTCCTCACCCAAAAGCTGTGAGCAGAGTAGCAGATGCTTGATTAGTCAATTACGTAGTCACTTGTTTCAGTTCTCATCTGAATTAGGGAGGCTTGCAGCTTATCGGCGCCTGTAGAAATTTCAAATTCCTCATCCAGCTCTTCCTTATATAACTAATGGCTACAGTATCATGACATACTTCAGTTTGTTTGCATATTTTGTCACATATTTGCCTTGATGTGGCTAACAGCTACACCGTTATCTATCCTAATGCCGGTATAACAGCGTTGGAGCTCTTTTATTTCAGGTTTGCAGATATGCTGCATCAACGAAGGAAGAATGGGATGAGCAATGCAAGTTCTGGCCAACATCTTATCATCCACCTACCTAGTGAGTTAGCTCTGAAATATTTCAACAATTGTATATGGCTTTTGATTATTCTTTTTTCTCTATTAATTTCTCCATCTTTTTCAATCACAGTAACATATCTGGCATAACTGGATTCAGCAAAGAGGATACAAAGTCAGTTTTTGGCTTCATGAAATATGCAGTTGACTTGGCAAGGTCATGCTCTAATCTGGTAATTTCTTTATGGGACATAGCCTTTTCCTTATAAAATTGTTGATATACTGCAACGAAAATGTAATGATATATAATTATTGTTGTTACGTGCTTATCCCCAGGGTTTTATCTCTCTGGATTTCCAGCTTACCTTTCTTAGAAAGAATAAATGGAATCATATGCAGTTGAATAAAATGAATTCTTAACTCTTAAATGATCTGTGCTTTTTATAAGGGACAGTAGGACCATTCAAAATTCTCTAGATTTCTACTCTGTTGGTAATTGAGCTCTAGATTACTGCCAGTAATCAATTGTCCTTGGGTGTTTGTTTTCCATTATATTATGCTCATTGTCTTCTTATTTGTAGTCATATCTAACTTCTGTTTTGTTGTCTTATTCTTCATACAGTGCAATTTTCATTTGATAAGATTATCAAATTTGTTTTCTTATTCCCAGCCACTTTATTGAACTTTGACTGAGCTCTAGGTGTCTTTGTACAAGTACTTTGATATTATTTACAGGGTCTGCATTACTTACAGTGCCAGGCCCTCAAGGACTACATTATATGATATCAGGCTTCTCTCCTTTCCATAGCTGTACATGGTGGCCCCTGCAGAACATAGCCCCACCCCTATTTTCCCCCTTTAATGATAGACCCTTGCCTCGCTTCCTATTCATTTGTGGATCTGGACCCGGGGGCTTATGCATGGTGACACTCACTCTGATGCATACCTGCGATTATTTCTGTTTGGTATCATTTTTAACCTGACTCTTCTCTATAGGTGGTCAATGCTGCTGTTATTGTTGATCCTTCAACTAAACAGGTCATTTCAAGTGCATGCGACCAAGATCTTTCTAGGACTGGTTGCAAATTTAAGACCAACATGGAAACAAATTGCTTCAAACATGAACCCTTTACTCCCACCAGTACATCTGAAAGTGAAAATCATCAGACATTATTTGCAAGCCATGTATCCAACCTAAAAGGGTTGCATATCTGTGTATCTTGTTTGCCTCCATGGGGATGGACTGAGCAGCAGTTACCTGAAAGTTCTATTTCCTGGCATCCTTTGCGCCATGCTGCTATGGTGGCAATTGAACATTCTGCTGCTAGAGATAGGCTTCTTTATCCTGATAGTGGACATAGTGGAGCTGAGATGATTGAAGAGGGTTATCTGGTTCCCAGTTCAACAGGCTTGCCTTCAAAGAGACAAAAAATTAATTTTACTCAGGTAGACTATCTTGCTTCCTTGTGATTCTTAGAATTTTTTTTTTTGGGTTCTTATATCCCATGCTTTTGTTGACTGTTGTAACCTGAAATATGAGATTTTAACAGGGAGATTAGTGGGATCTAAAATCAACTTTGATATAGTTGAGAAGCATGTCCTATGCAATTAGCATTTTATGTGACTACAGTTCTTATCATATGTGCAAATTTGATCTTACTACAGTTCAGAAGTTCAGAGTTACATAGGTGTAAAACTTGTAATGCAGGAGTACATATGTGGATTACTGTGTTGTATAACATGGTAAAGTATTTACAGTTGATGTAACCTTATTAACTATGAAATTTTGATTTTATGGGAATTCACTTTTACTCTATACTCGTATCTCAGAGCGTATTTTGGTAAAATTTCCTTGGGAGGAAGCAACTTCTTGAGGCTTACTATTGTACGATCTTACAAGAAGTGTTGTGTTCTTTCAGGATGGAAATGATGAGAATCTTGACTGGAAAACTAATGCTTTGCAATCTGATTCTGCAAAGCCTTACTTATGCACTGGTTATGACATCTATCTTGTCTGGGAGCCATGCACTATGTAAGTTAAGTTACTCATGGATCTTTGTTGCCTTTCCTATTTTGCACTGGTCAAATGTTTTTAAATCATTGGGAAAGTGATTAAATGCTTTCAAACTTTTCTCGAGTTCTATGATAATGCTTCTATGCATTCTTTGATGCCTCCATTTGCTTAATAAGCGAATCCAAAACTGGATTAATAGTTCTTATGACTTGTTCATACTCCTCATCTGACTTACCGCCTCAAGCTGGGGCAAATTTTGTTGCTCAAAGGGAGGGAGGAAGAGTATGCTTGTTGTAATAGCAGCAACATGAACAAGGGGAAGTTGAATTTATGTTCTATACACTATGGACTTTAGCTTTAGAAGACTGGACTGCAGTAAATCTTTAATTACTCTCTATCTCAGTCTTCTTGATCTTCAATTTGTGAGGTCTTACTTGTGCTCTTTCTCTAAGGTGTGCCATGGCCCTTGTACATCAGCGAGTTAAGCGAATATTTTACGCTCTTCCAAATCCAAATGCTGGTGCGCTGGGAAGTGTTCACAGGTTACAAGGAGAGAGGAGTTTGAATCACCACTATGCTGTTTTCAGGGTTTTGTTACCTGAAGAGATGGTCAAAGATGAAACTTTAGTCTCCATTATTTCTAACAATTATCAAAT